GCTGCTGACCATCCCTATCTGTTTACAGATGGAAAGAGTGTTTTGCCTTTAGTGTAGTGCATGGTGAAAGGCATGGGTCTAGGTTTAATTTTCAGCATATGGAAAGCCAGTTTTTCCAGCACCATTTGTTAGAGAGGCTAGCTTTCTTCCAGTGAACATGTTTGGCCCCTTTGTCAAACATAAGGTGGCTGAGAGTGGTTGTCGCTGTGGTTGCATCTTCTAATCTATTCCATTGATCTTCAGGTCTGTTTTTATTCCAGTACCATGCTGATTTTATCTCAGTAGCTTTGTAGTATAACTTCAAGTCAGGGATTGTGATGCTTCCTGCCTGGCCTTTGTTGCCCAGAATTGCCTTTGCTATTCTAGGACTCTTCTCGTTCCAGATGAATTTTAGGAGTGATTTCTCTAGATCTGCAAAGTATGCTTATGGTATTTTGATTGGAATTGCATTAAATCTGTGCAAAAATTTTGGGAGAATGGCCATTTTCACAATGTTTATTCTTCCTATCCATAAACAAGGAATATCTTTCCATTTTCTGAAATCTTCTATTTCTTTTTTCAGAGTACTGTAATTTTCACTGAATAGATCTTTTATTTCCTTTGTTAGATTGATTCCTAAGAATCTCATTTTTGTGGATGCTATTGTGAAGGGTGTGTTTTCTCTGAAGATCAATTTGTTGATTGTGTATAGAAATGCTATTGATTTTTGAGTGTTGACTTTGTATCCAGCTATATTACTGAATTTTGTTATTATATCTGAAAGTCTTTCAATGGAGTTTTGAGGGTCTTCTATGTAGATTATCATGTCGTCTGCATATAATGATTATTTAACTTCTTTTTTTCTTCTTATTCTTTTTATTTCTCTATTTAGTCTAATTGCTCTGGCTAATATTTCCAATTATATTAAATAGGAGTGCTGATAGTGGACATCCTTGTCTTGTTCCTGATTTTAGAGTGAAAGCTTTCAGTTTTTGACCATTTAATATGATGCTGGCTGTTGGTTTGTCAGAGATGGTTTTTATCAGATTGAGGTAAAGACCATCTATTTTGATTTTCCATAGGGTTCTTATCATGAATGAGTGTTAGACTTTATGAATGAGTGTTTCTGCATCTGTGGAAATGATCGTGTGATTATCTTTGGCTCTATTGATATGATATATTGTTTTGGGATCTTTGTTATTATTTATTTTTTATGTTTGTTGTTTTTCTTGTATTTTGTTTTGTTTCCCTCTAATATAGAAAGGATAGATGTACATGTATAGGCTTACACATGCCTAGAACTTCTCCTAAAACATTTACAAGAATTGATTTTATTATGTGTGACGGTGCAAACAACTACTTTGAAGAAAATGAAACATTTTGGCAGCCATTGCCAATTTTCTCTCATCTTGTTTTGAAGCCCAATAATGCTTTTATTCTTTGTTTTGATTGGTTTTAGTCTATTTTCTATTATTTTATTTCAATATGTATGAAGGTATGGAAAACTACTTTGAAGAAAACAAACATTATGGTAGCCAGTGTTGATTTCCTATTGTTTGGTTTTGAAGGCCTGTAATGCTTTCACTCTTTTGTTTTTATTGTTTTATACTATTTTACTTTATTTAAATTTATTGCGTGTGAAGGTATGGACAGCTACTTTGAAGAAAACAAGAAACATTATGGCAGCCACTGTTGATTTCCTGTTGTCTTGAAGTCCTGTGTTGCTTGCATTATTCTGCTTTGCCCTGTTTTGTTTTGTTTTATTCTCTTTAAAATTAAAAAAGGACTGAGCTTTAGAGTAGTCTATGTGGGAAGCAAGAAAATGTAGTGTCAGCAACCAGAGGGACCCTGAAAGTTCAATGCCCAGTGGGAGGAGGAACACAGAGCACATGCATGGGCCTGTTCAGTATTTGTTGACAATTTACAGATTAGGAAAATGGCCTCAGTGCAGGAAGGACCTGCTAGGATGGGATGAGGAGGGAGGGAGAAGGAGAGAGGAGCAAGTCATACACTACAAAACTCTCGGAAATGTGCTCTGAGCTCTCAGAGCTGGTTCAGGAGCACACGTGGCCGGTGGGGACAGCTCACATACGCTGTCCTTACGCCTCTTCCTCCCAGAGCTCGGGGTTCAGTCCCTCGGTCTCACTGCACATCACAAGGCACAGCAGGGAGCTCCGTGACCTCCTCACAGGTAGAAGGTTCACAGTAGGGGACAGGCACCAGGCTGGAATGGAGGATGCATGGCAAGGCCGTATAAATATTCCTCACGGGCCTCACTGGAGCAAACTGGCCGTATGCTATTTTGTTCCTGGGGTATCAGATGGTCCATTTCTCTGTTGGGGTTACGTCACCTCCTCCAGGCAGCCCTTTGAGTGACTCCTTCCAGTGTGGCCTCACTGATACCCTTGTGCTGCCTCCACAGGATTGCAGCTCACTCTCACCCTCCTCTTGCTCGCTGGTGCCTCAGGTTGACCCAACCACAGCTTCCCAAGGTTTCTCAGTCTACGTCTCTGCATGGGCCCCATAGAGCCTCCCTACCCTGCCATGTGGGAGAGACACCCACCCCACCCCCACATGTGAGCACACACTCACACATGCACACACATACTCATCTACACATCTCTTTCCTCTTCGGCAGAGGAGATACACATCTTGCTATCTCCAAAGAAAGCCTTTCTTTCCAAACTCCCAAACTTCCATGCTTCTCAGGAGGGTGATGACCTACAGGGAGCAAACCAGTTTCCAGCAACTCTCCCTGCAGGTCTCACATAGATGATTTAGCAGCTTGCTGCAGCACGAGGGGATATTTTTGCCTTCACTATTTTGTTCTTTACTTGAAGACTTGGGAACAGCTCCATTTTAGCATCTCATCACAGGACCACAGGCACAGCGGTAGAGAGGGCAAATACTCCTTGCCACAGTGCTCACCTTGGGTCCCAACTTCTCCACAACTTCTTCCTAATTGTATAACTGTATTTTCATCACCTACCCCAGCTGTGTGACCCTACGGTGACAGAAAAGATGGTTCATCTCTCTAAATGAATGTGTGATTTCATTTAAAAATCATGGGCACAGGGATGTTCCCAGCCATAAATCAATCATCCAGGTGCTGGTAGCCTTGTAAGTCTAGCTTGACACTAAAGGACTGTAGGACCCCAGACAAGTCAGTTACCTTCTCTGTGTTTACCTTATATCTAAAATAAAGCAGTTGAGCTTGGAGACCGTAAAGTCCTTCCAGCTCTGAGATGCTAACTTGTTTTGGGGGACTGTCCAAGGCCAGGTCAGGGCAATTCAAGGGCAGAGATGACACCAGAAACCCTTTGGGTAATACCTGGCATTTCCACTCCCATCAATGAGCTGCTTAGTTTCATGTGACAAGATTGTCACAGGATTTATCTCCTACCTTATGGACATGTTCTCCCCACTTTAGGATAGAGACAAAATAAAATGGCAAGCTCCTGGGTCTGGGGGGCACTGGGGTGATCTCAGGCTTCACCAGGTTAAGGAATGTGCATGTTATGAATAACCTTGCCCTGGACCCAAAATAGGCACACAGGGTCTGATTTCCAGGCTTCCCCCAGAAAAAGATAAAAATATCATGGGCACAGGGATGTTCCCAGCCATAAATCAATCATCCAGGACTATTTCTGTTCCTGTCCCTTACGCAGGGTTCCTCCTACAACCTCCATCCTGTCCTCCCCATCCTGGCCTCCCAGACACCTTGGTCCTAGAGAAGGAAGAGGCTCATCAGCTGCTCTGACAATAATTTGGCACTGTGGCCATTCCAATGTGGGAATTCTAATCTTGCCCATAAGAGCTACCATCAACTTCCATGAACCTGTTTAGTGTGGATCCACGTCAACTGGCAGATCAGCTCTTGGTATATGCCAGGTCTCCCCACCTGCAAGGCCAAGAAGCTGCCCAGGGGTTGTGATGGGGCCTGGAGTTCACTACCCTGAAAACCCCTCTGTACCACTAGGGGTAAGGCTTCTCCTTCATGCATTACAGGATTTACAGCCATTTCTTTTTTTTTTTTTTTTTTTTTTGTCTTTTCTTTTTTTTATCGGTACCAGGGATCGAACTCACGACTGCCTGCTTGCAAGGCAGGTGCTTATGCCGCTGAATTACAGCCATTTCTAAGGGGTGTTGGGAGGATTAAAAGAGACCCTGTAGGTAAAGTGTTAAATACGGCACCTGGTACTTTGCAGATGCTCAGAAATTAAGAATTGCTTTCCCCCTGCTAGTCTTCCATCTGGAGCTCGGACTCCTCAGCCAGTCCATGTCTTTAAAGAGCTCCTCTGTGGTGTTTTCATCAGCATGTCAGGTTCAAGTCCAGCTCTTGGGGAGGCCCTTGAGGATATTTGATATGCTCTAAGATCCTAAATCAGTATCATAGTGAGGAACCACGGATGTGCTGCTGGTGGGCCAGCTGGAGAATAAGGACCAGTGGAAGCCCAATCCTTTACTGCCCTCTGCAGGCTCCAGTGGCATCTGCAGGCAGTGTTGACTGCTTGCCTTATGCAACACCCAAAACGACCCAGGTGTCTTATTCCATGGACTTGTGGCACTTTACACATTCACACAACAGGGCAAGGCCAGGTGTCCAAAGAGGACAATGCCTCAGGGGAGCAGGGTCATGCATAGCTCACAAAGCACTTGCTTGTGGGGTTTAGTGGCAGCCTCTGCTCTTAATTATCTTAAGCACAGGAGGGAATTCTGGGGCATTGCTCAATCCTGAAGCCTCACTAATAACAAATAACAACTCCTAGATCCTGCCCAGAACATTCCAGAAAGTCACCTGATAAATGGACCTGGGTATTTCACTGAAAATATCACCATGATTTTTAAAGCTTTTCAATCTTAACCTTGCTGTGGAAGAAACAGCATATCTAGAATACTTCAAAGGGAATTTTAAAAGAAACTGTGTGTGTGTGTGTGTATGAGTTTGGCGTGTGCTTTTTAAAAATGAAAGCTGGCTAAGATATGAAAGATACTACCAGCATTTGGTGTGATTATGATAGTTAATAAGCAATTCTCGCTGCCAACCAGCTGACAGCTTCATTTATTAGGACACTGAACATCACTTCAATTACATCTTCCCACTGCCCTCTTTGCATGACCAGAACCACAGACTCTCTGGCAGGCTTGGTGTTGCAACCAGTGAAAGCTCGTGACAACATGACACCATCCACTGATGTGCTGTGTTGAAGTCCCCTGTTGGAGCCCTGGAAGGAGATACTTGTCTGTCTCCTGTTCTCTCTACCAACAGCAGGAACTTGGGCATTCTAAACAGCATACATCAGGATCAGGCACTGCGTAATAGGGAGCCAAGTCTTTGATGGCTGCAGATCCCTTATGTAACTGGAGTTTTCAGGTCATACATTTATGCAGGAGAAGATCTTACAGATTGCCAACCCTTTCATTCTTCACTAAAACTCTTCAGGAAGGAAAAATGACAGCCCAAGGTCACAGAGACAGAGACGGAGCTGGGGTGAGAACCCAGCCTTCTTAATTCTTTTCCTCTGGCTGATATTGATTTCAATAGCATTATTTCTACGTGAAAATTACTCTCACTTCAAATGAAGAAGACTTAAATCGGATCTTTGAAATACGCAAAGGGAAGGATTTTAGCACATTGCAGGTAGTCAATAATAGAGGAGGATGGATTTTTGTGTTATACGGTGATCTTAGTTTATGCAGTCTAACAAAACTGGATCCAATCAGCCTTGAATTATTTTATTCTCTCCAGTGACTTAAAGATGGCTACTTTTAATCTCACCCCACTGCCTCGTTGAAAACTGTTAGTATAGATCTGAGGTTATACTACAACATTCATCAGTGGTAAATGCACCCAGATTCAGAGTAACTTTGGTTTAAGGTTTTGGAGGTTTGTAAGGAACCTCTTTGAAGCACAGACAGACAACCGTCAGCACCTGGGGTTGTGCAAGCTAGCCAGCACATGTGAACCTAGCACAAATACATTTTAACCTATAACAAATACTTGATTAAAACAGACTTGAAACAGCTAAATATGTAATGCATTTTGGTCACTTAGGTTTAACAGTTAGGAATTTGCTCATCATTGGGATTGCAAATCCTTTTTGATCGAAATCTTCCAATCCATTCCTTTTTTCCAAATGCTTTTCTTTTGAGTCACAGCTTGGCTGTATCTCCTATCAATCCAGGGTCTTCAGAACATGCTTCCTGCTCCGTGAAATCCCACTATATCACATGAACACTCCACTGTGCACTTTCTCTTCAGACCCTCAGAGACCAGGGTTTACAGTTTTCTGGTGTACCAGTGACACACTAGGAAAGAAAAATAGAGTCCTTGTTGCCAGGGTCTTGTGACAGTGCCCAATCCCACCCTGTCAATACATGCCACCTCCCACAACTGCCATCCACCATTCCCAAGACTGAACACTGCTGTACATCACAGTCACTGGGAGCGCCCCATAGAAGGATCTCTTAATTTCCTAGTCATGATTTATTCTAACTGAGCACTTTCCATATGACAGGCATTCTATTAGGCTCTGGAGATACTATGATGATGAACAATTTAGAAATGGGTTTTTCTCACACAATACTCACGATCTCTAAATAAAAGCACAACTGACTCAGAATCAGCTATTATGCAAATGCATTGTAAGGGTGTTAAATCGTTGGTGTATTGTTATAGAGAAATGAATCTTTGTTTTAGGTTGGAAGCCTCAGAAGGGCTACAACAGATTGCCTACAGGAAACTCATGTTAAAACAGATTGCCCACAAGGAGCTAGTCTCTCAATCTTTGTAAGCTTATAGGGAAGCCCTGAGTCAAGAAAATGGGATTCAGGTAACTGGCAGCACTGGGAGCCATGGTGTGTTCGGGCCATGGGAAGGTTGCTGCACTGTGGGAACTCCAGTGCCTAGGAGCTCACACATGGCCTGTGTGGTTCCTGCCTCACAGTAAAAGCTACTGGAAGAACCCAGTCCTGCTAAGCAAACAGAGGTTGTGGCTACAGAGGCATTTGGGAATCTCTATGATTGACACCAGTGATTGGGTTATTCCCAAATTTAATCTATCACCTGAAGTTAGATGCAAAATAGTGACATCATGGGGCATGACTACCTACCACATATTCATACTATTTTAGGGAAGCTCTACTGCAAGGTGTAGCTTTAAAGCAGTTTCTCATTATCTCAAGTGGGGGCACCATAGCACACACTGAAGACCAACACTAACCCACAGCTGCTCAGATGAGAAAAGGCCTGACACCTCTCCCATCTGCAGGACCTTCCCCTGCAGTCTGCCAGCCAATCCCCAGCCTCCTCAGCATCCTACCAGGGTGGTGAACTGGTCCCCACAGGCATTGCGGATCTTCTCCGGGGTGGCAGGGCTGTCCAGCCGGAAAAGCTGCTTGGTATTGTAATCTGAGCGCTGGGCTCTAGCAGCACCAATGGCGTCCTTGATGGCAAAGAAGATGGAGGCGGCCAGGAAGAGGGGCGGTTCCCCTACAGCCTGAAGGGACAGAAAGGCAGGTAAGGATTCAAGCAGATCTCCCCTAACCTCCGAATCTCCACACAGACCCAGGAGGCCAGGCCATCAGCCCACAACAGAGCCCCACTCAGCACTAACGGCACAACACCAAACATGCAGTCAAAATTAACCAGGGGCTAAGAACCATACTAGACAGGTGGGCATTTTTCATTTAGTGTTTGCTATGCAATTTTGTCTAATGACACCATGGAAATATAATGTAGTATCAAGAGTTATACTCAACAGGGCTAGAGATATAGTTCCATAGTAGAGTGCTTGCCCAGCATGCATAAGGCCTTGGGTCCGATCTCTAGCATCAAACACGCACACACATACACAGAGTTATACTAAATATTCATATTTTATAGATAAAAAATTTGATATGAGCTTTATCCTTTTCTCACAGTTAATAGCCTAGGTAATAACCCACTCGTAACTCTAATGCCAGTGCTTATGGGTGTTATAATTACAGCATTACGCTACAGTTGTAGGCATAATGACAAATGCATTAACACATTTTCTGGTGGAAACTGATTTTTCCCCTTGGAGCACAGTTCAGAGACCACCTACATCAGAAACACTTGAGATGCTTACAAAAATTACTGCCCCAGGGCCACACTCCTCAATGAGTTTCTTGGGGTGAGCTCCATAAAGATGCATTTTAATAATGATCCCACAGACTCTGATGGATACGTAAGAGCCAGGGGTGGACATCCCAATGTGCTCTAGACCCCCTACCTGCTCACCCACAATAAAGTAAACCATGAGATACACAAACACAGACTCCATCAGCTACTTCCTTCGGGTCGTTGCTTGTTGTAGTGCTAGGACAATACTGGTCAGCTAAATTAATTTTGAATCATTGTTTCATACTTCTTGGGGACAAGGAGGAATCTTCCAAGTATGCTGATCAAGTCTTAAGGTTGGGTCTCAGAAACTGAAGGAGATGATGGCAGGGAGCACAAAGGCACTGTTCCCACTGGCGTAAATCCTCTGATTCTCCGATGCTGGATCTGTAAAATCTGAGGATCAAACCTAGGGATGTCTGCCTAAGAGGCAGATGTAGGCCAGGACACATTAAAACATTTCCTTCAGTCCACCAAGAGAAGCCAACTTCAGACCATACTAACATGGTATCCTCAACCCAACTTAACTGCTGCAGTCCTTGGGCAGGACTGCCCAACACCCTGCTGCCCTTGATGCGGCCAGTGTCAACTCTACTCCTTTTCCAAGAAGAACCCCTTGCAGACCCACCAGGTGGGAGCCTGAAGACCTTCATCACCACTTCTTCCCTCTCCCCAAGCCCAAGCACAGATCAGAAGGCTGCACAGACCCAGAGCAAGTATACCTTGGATGCATAGATGGCCCTCTTGTTGGGGCAGTCACGGAGCAGGGACACTCTGAACTCAGTGGGAATGCTGCCAAATGCAGGGATCTTGTAGGTGCTGGGGCCACGGGTGTGCAGGCTCCCCTCAGGGGAATAGTGCAGCTCCTCCATGGTGAAGAGGCCAAGGCCCTGGACAAACGCCCCCTCCACCTGCCGGACAGACAGGAACCATGGCTACCTGCCTCTCCCCTTCCCCAGGACAGATACTACTAACCACAATGGTCACACCCCTAATCCCTCCATGGTGGGGCCTGGATGGAAGTTAAACAGCCTTCAGATATTTATCTGGCTCCTACTCGAGCTCCAAGGTGACCTAGCTGACCTTCCTCCTGGTGTGTCAGTTAAGCTTGTCAATTTGACTGGATTAAGAGACTACTGGAGAGGTGACAAGATCACCAGGCAACATACTTATTAGTGGATTAATCCACTGATGTCCACAGAATGTGGTATTATAAGGTGGGATGCTTTGATGTGGGTCACTGCGGTGTGCCTTTGAAGGTCATCTCTTTCTTTCTCTCTCTGGGGCTCTTCCCCTATGTTCTGCTCCCTGGCCACCATGAAGTGAGCAGTTTTGCTCTACTGAACTCTTGTACCATAATATTCCTGTCTAGGAAAGAGCAAGTCATAGACTGAAACTTCCGAAATCATGAATCAAAATATAAATCCTTCTTTCCCCAACGAAGGCCCCTGGTTTTACCTCCAGGAAGGAAGAAAAAAAAAAACTAATAACTGACTCATTCGCCAAGTTTTGGTTCAGGCAGAACAAAAGCATGGACACTGAATGTCACTTGCAGAACTGATTGACCATTCCAGGAGGATCACATCGTGGAAGGCATAATTTCCCACTAGAAGCTGCCTCCATGCAAATGGAGCATCCTTTCCACGTCACCACTGGGAAACAGTGGCCGAAACTGAGCCACTGGAAGGAATTTCCTGGATAGCAGGTTCTCGGAGATTTACTTCCCACCTTGCTAACTTCCACTCTTGCCTGTCCCCTGGGAGGAAGTAGCCTTCCTGCGGCTGACAGATGCTGCGCTGGCCTCCATGTCTGATCCCTGAATCCTGGTCCAAAGGAGTGATATATGGGGGCAGCTATATGTAGGGCTGAACACGCATGGGGGGGGCTGTGAATCCTCTTTGCATCGGCAGTGCCTGGTGTGGTACCTGCCCATAGGAGGGACCCCCAAACAGCTGCGCAATGAAGACTAATCACTCAGTAACTCAAAACCTGTCCATCTCTGAGAAATTAATGCATATTTCCTATCAGATATTCACTGCTTCAACTCTTGTTCCCTCAGTATCTACTGCCTAGTGATGCAATATTTTCCAAAAGTGATTTTCTTTGAGGCATCCCTTAATTCCTCCTGGTTTACCTCACATCTTTTTCTCCCAGGGGCCTCCTTAGCCCTGACTTGAAAGCATTTACTTCCTGGGAGATAAAACCTATGCTAGGTGTAATGAGGTCAGTGACAATTCTTCTGGCCTTAGACTCTGCTATCTGGGCACCAATCCCAAACTCAATGTCCACTCCTTGTGCCCATTCTCAAACAGAATGCATGCTTGCATGTGTGCATGTACACACACATGTGCATGTATGTGCCCACACATGCACCTAGTGTGCCACCAATCATCATCTTGTCCTCTGGAGTATGAGTGCCCTTTCCAAGTTAAGCCATATTATTTGTTTTCTGCCATGAGAGTTGGGTGGACTATCATCAATCTAAATCCCACTCTAGAGGAGCCTTCCTGAATGCTAATTTCTGACCTTCCTAAAAATAACACTGAACAACAGGCAGTGTACCTGATGACCTGGGGTGGAGATAATGGGACACACTGAGGGTCCACTACATCGTCACTCTGATCTTCTATCTGATCTTACCTGTCCAATATCAATGGCAGGGTTCAAACTGGTGCCAACATCCATGACGATGTCTGTGCGGAGGTTCTAAAGTGGGTGACAAAATAGAAGCAGCTTGAGAAGAAAGAAATGTTTGGAATGGCATGGATGGGTCTCCATGATCCTGAGACCATGAAGGTCAACCCAAATAGTACTTTCAGATGTAAGGATCTCTGAGGGTGCTTAGAGAGAAGGGCTGATATTCCCACAACATCTTGACAGACACGGTTAGTATTGAAGTTTGAGAGCTTAGCAGCTAGATGGGGACAGGAAGCTGCAATGATTTCTTAACAATCAGAAATAACTACACACACATTTGTGCACAAGAAGGCGGGCAGGTTCTCAGATTCTCCAAAGTCTTGAACCTGAGTCTCAGTACATTGTGTAGCAAAGGAATTAGCAAACTCTATTCCATGAATTAAATCCAGTTCAGTCTCTGTTTTTTCAGGCTAATGATTACATTATACATTGGGCGAAAAAGGATATCCTGTGACAATGAAAATTATCTGAATTTCAAATTTCAGTGCCTGTAAATAACATTTTATGGGCACACAGTCACTCCTATCATATTTATCACGGTTGCTCTCACACTGCAAGAGTACAGCTGAATGACTAAGGAAAAGACTGTGTGCTCCACGCAGCCTAAAATATGTGCCTCTTTATAGAGTATTTGCTTATCCCAGAGGTAAGGCATTATTTTCCAAACCAGAAGGTCTGTCTCGATCTGCTTTTAGGATTATAATTTGGTTGTTTGTCTTCTCTTTTCCACCTTAGGACTAATGTTTTGTTAGCTTCTTACCTTATGATCTCCTGTTAAGCAGTCAATTTCTACCTCAGAGCAAGCCACCCCATAGCTGAAGTAGTGAAAGGGATTCCCAGAGTTGGTTTTAGGGTCATAGCCAAGGTTGGGCGTCCTGGAAGCAAAGCAAGAAGATGTGGCACATGTATTAGGATGGTCCCACCCTTCCCTCATCCCACACCATCGTTAAGTCTTTATGGTTCTAGTGTTTCATTCATCTCTTCTCTAAACAAGTGCATGTGTTTTAAATATTCTGAACCTTTAATGAAACCCAGACGTTTCCAAAGTATTTTGTTTCCATATCATAAGCATTCAGCACAGCTCTGTTTAGTTTAGTATCAGTGTGCTGTCTTCTATATAGCAGAAATAGATATGTCAGTTTTTCTGGAGCTCATGGAGAACATCAAAATCACTCGGTAAAAGATCAGCCAAGCCAGAAGCCAAGGGCTCAGAACTAAAGTTGTGCCTGGGTCGGTGCTTGGGCTGTGCACACAAGGGCACCTGCTCATCTTTTCAAGGCGAAAGTTAACAACATCAGGAGCTCATGCCAGCCTGCATGCAGCTTTAATAGCCAATGCCCAAATCTCCCAATCTTTCCAAAAGTTCAAGTCATCTGAGGAGACTGTTTTTCAAAGAGACAGATGCTCCTTTGTACATGTTTTCTTTTGCAATCCTGAGTGCCTTATGTAACTCCAATTTTGCGTAAGTCATATATGTGTGTATTTTATAGACAAATACTTTATGAATATATCCACAATATATCGTAGGCTATGCCTATGTATATTTTGTATATTACACAGAAAATATAGGAATGAATATTATAACCAGAATCCATACAAAGCCAAAACCCACACAAGGCTGGGTGAAAAGACTTCCTGCAGGAGAAAGTACCACCTTCTTTGACCTCTAATGTTACCACATTTATCTGGATCCACCTTTGTGAAACCCTAGTTTTATGAGCTCCAAAAATATGGCAGGAACTTACGCAAAGCTCTGCATTTATCTGTGTTTACATAGGTGAAATATTATATAATTTAGAGGTAATGGGCAAAATATTTCATATAAATAATTATACATAATAATATATAATGAATATATAGTCATGTATGCAAGACATTGTCAAACAAACCTTAAGCTATTTTTCTAATCTATTGATCTGTGAAAGAAAAGATCTTAAATTCCCAGAAATAGCTAAAATATTATCTGACAAGCATGATCATATCATAAGTCAGATGGGCAGGTTTGTTAGCTATTTACATGGCTATTGAATTTGAAAGCTGTGGAAGAATATCTGTCCCCTCCTGCATCTCATTACCAAACTTCCACTGCACTCTGCATGCTGTAACAAGGCCATGGGTTCTAAATTCTCCTCTAGTTCTTCTGAGAGAAAGTCTGTAAAGAAATCCAATGCCTAGTACAAAGAAGCACACCTGAGGTGCAGCAGTGCCTAAATTGGAGCAAAAGACACCCCGAACCTTGCAGAATGCTGAGGCGGGGCGGGGTGGGAGGTGGGGTAGGCGATTAGCCCAGTGTATTTTAAGTGAGGGAACAAATAAAACAGTTCATTCTAAGATCAGAACTATTACTTGGGTCTTTGGATATGGTAGCTCCTGCTACCATTCCACAGTTCCACATATCCAGAGCATTTGGTAGAGTCGCTCTCTCCTGTCAAGGGCTGACAGCATTCAGAGTCGGGTGGCGTGGGAATTTAGGGTGACAATACAGCATACTGTGAGATGGGCAAGGACGGGACCACACTTACTTATAAAATCCTGTAGCAGACAAGCTCACTGCATCAAGGTAGGCAGCTGAGACCTGAGGAGAGGGCAAAGTCATCAGGAAGGAGAAAGTGTGTTTTGCAGAAGTGCTGACCTCACACCAAGTTTTCGTGAGCTCAGCCTCTTCATGTTGGAAGCAAATCCCCTCCTCTTACTGGTGAGTCCCACTTCCGTAACTTCTGCTCAGACCATCGCCATTGTCTGCAGCCTGCAGTCCCTACAGCCTCCTAAGCAGCCCCTTCCCAGCCCTTCACGGTCCCCACATTCATATAGTTCCGGCACTATTTCTATCCCAATCTTTTCCTCCCCTTAATGAATAGCACAGAATTAGCTCTTTAATCACCTCTCCTCGGTGATTACTCCCTGTTCAAGTCATTATGAAAGCAGCTCTGGGTTGTTCATTATATTTAACATGATAACCTTGAACTTTTATTTATAGTTTCCTAATAATAAGATATTCATCCGTGTTTTCCTTAACTAGTCAGTTCTTTTATATCCTCAGCACTAGCACAACACTAAGTCTCAAGTAGACTTGATATCCTTTGTATCATCCTTTGTATTGTTTATATTGTTTATAAGATCACCACTGTCAATTACCAAGCTCTTTGCTAGGTCCAAGATGTTAATTAGCACTTTATACATCCTAAAATTTTATAAAATCCAGTTATTATCTTCCTTTTACAGATATGACAAGTAAGGCTCAGAGGAAAAGATTTTGACCTAGGATCTGCACTATCAATATAACATGACGTGACATGGTGATATCTGTGGTGGTGTTATTGTTTTATTGACCTCACCTGCTTACAAGGGACACTAACTACCTGAATGCTGTTGGAAGATGAAACCCAGATCAACAGATCAGATGGCAGAAAATTGTTGTCCAGGCTGTTATAAAAACATCAAAATTTCCTGACCAAGCCACGGTAAATCAAAATCTACCCAAATCAAGCACTTTCAAACAGCATTCATGCACATGGTGGCTGAAGAAGAAAAGTCCAGGTCACGGGGGACGTGGGAAAGGAGCACCCATGGTGGGACTAGTTTGTTTTCCTGGAGACTGTTGAAGATTTTACCATCTGAACCGGTTCATGACAGGTCATATTTTATATCCTATTATGCCCTCTTCTGTCTTTCCAGGGCTGAGGGATGTTGAAGCAGAGATGCCATTGAGATTTCTGCCTGTTGCAGGAACTACAGGACAGAGAGAGAGGGGTCAGGGGCCCAGGGACAAGGGAGAAAGGAGGGAGAGAGGAAAACAAGGAGAGGAAAAGGTAGAGAAGGAAGGAAGGAGGGAGGAGAAAGCAAAGAGGAAGAGAGGGCAGGTGAGAGAGAGACTGGGGGGTTGCAGCTTCCCTCTGAGGGCTTCCTGCATATAGGCATACGGTCTAGGGTACAGTCAATCCTTCTTTGTCACCCCTAAAATCACAGGAGTCATACAAGCTCTCAGAGAATGGTTTTATCTCCCATTTTTCATGAATGGCACCTCACTGGACCCAAATTCAAGAGTTGGGTGAAGAGGGAGGTCCTAGGATGGCCTTCTCAGGTGGACGTTTAAAGGAAAACAGCCCCGGGAAGCTTCGGACACATGGTTCAAGGGATTCGAGACGTCATGGGAAGCATGTTCTGCAGCCATCCCCTCCTCTCAGGCCCAGAACAGTCCATAGCCCAATTTCTACAAGGTTGTCATGATCAAAAATTTTCCTAGGTCACTTCCTCTGGAAACCAAAGAGCAAGGTGCCCAGCAAGGTCATGCTGGACTTGTCCTATAAAGCCACACAAGCTACACCAACTTCTCTTCCAGTGTGGTCAGCTCATTATTGCCTATGCATGTTAGAGGAGGGAACTATTACTGTTAATCTCCCTCTCATTTTCAAAAGTGATTTAGATCAGCTCAGACTTACCCAGTCTTCCCAGGAACCGTTGGGATTCTTTTTCTTGAAGGGTTCCAGCCTCTTCAAAATGGTCTGACAAGCTTCCTAAAAAATCCCCATAACACACCAGACACATCAATCTCCTGCATCCTAAAGCTCCGGGGACACACAAGGGGCTGGGCAAGGCCACCTCCAAGCAATGCTGTACTTTATTGTCCTTCAAGTGGCCAAAAGCCATACTGGGAGTCTTAGGACCCTGCTAAAGGGGCACCACCAGTGCTTGTCTGGCCAATCCTTTCTGATCTGTTCTAGGCTGGCAGACAGAATATCTGAGGGACCCCACAGGGAGATGGCTTTTTCCATCAAACTCCTTGTTTGATTATATCCCCCATATAGGATAGAAGTGGTCTAACCTGGCTGGCCCCATAGTAAGTGTCATTTTCAGTCCTTTACCTTTGTGACCAGTTCCAGCAACAAAGAGTGTGCCTTCCCAGAGGTCCCTCTGTCCTTTCCCCTACCAGCCCTGTGCCTGTTCCTCCTGGCTTTGAGGGATGTGAGTATGATTTTTTTGGCCTCTCTTATATGGTTCCATTTGGAGAAAGCATCCTTCCACATAGCAGAACCGAAGGCCAGAGCCAAAAAGCCTATGAAAATCCACTCCCCCCCCCCATCTAAGGGGGATTCTCCAGCCCTCGAACCCTGAGCTATCCCTTGACAGTAAAGGCTCCTGCAGACTCCTTACATAAATGGCCTGGCCATTGAGGTCAGCGCTGACAGAAGCAGCAGTGGGAGAGGTGTTGGGCACAGTGTTAGTGCTTGTTTCACTGATGTAAATCTTGGAGATGGGAATTTTCAGCGCTCTGCTGGCCACCTGCAAGAAAATAAGATATTACCCTCCGGGAAAGAGATTATCCTGGGGCTTAGCTGCCTTCTCTGCAAGAAAGGGCTCAGGATCAGTGTTGGAGGCAAGAAAATAATTTCAAAAGCTTCAATCCTATCAATTCTGGATATTCTCACATCTGCTGAATTTGAAGGAACACATTGTAGAGTGGTTTGGTGGAATAAAAATATTCATAAAACCAATGTGACTACAAGTGTCTCTTTAAGATAAAATTGGTTTTAAAAAAATTCCAATATATCCACTCCTCAGGAACTGAGCAGATGTGGCAACTCTAATCCAGTTCCATAGTCCTAGCTCCCCTTGAGGAGTCTCATAGGGTGTAGAAAACCAGCTCCTCCATATACACACAACCTCCGTATACACACCACCCACAGAGTTGCGAGGTCTAGGATGTGGGGAATGAAAGTGTGCTCAATGATCACCTGGTCAATCCCTGTGTACAGATGAGGAAACTGGGGCCCAAAGGGGAGCAGACCTGCCTGAGGCCATGAATGAATGAGACCCCAAGCCTGCTATTGCTCCCACACATGACATTTCTGTTTCTCACAGCATCTTCCTTCCCATTCCTTCCCATCCCAAGAAACATCACAATGCAGGAAGGGACATCAGCAGTCCACAGACTCCTCACCTGGACCATCTTGGTGTGCAGGCCTTGGCCCATCTCGGTGCCTCCATGGGTCAGCAGCACGGAGCCGTCTGTGTATACATGAACCAGAGCCCCTGCCTATGGGAAGAGAAGGAAGCCAGACACAAAGTTCAGTACATCCTAATTTATCTAAAAGTTTGGGACCAAAAGCTTGAAACCCAGCCAAAAGAAAATCAAGTAGAATACTTTAGATATAAACTCCAGACAAAAATTCCATGGTGTAATTGTCATTGTTTAATTACACAGTCCTTCAGTAATTTGTAAAATGCTTTTATATCGTTCTTTCTGTGTCTTATACTTGGAAGAAAGTGGTCATGTATCTTTGCCTTCATTCTATCCACAAAGACACTGTATCCAGGAAGGTTAAAAATTAGAGGTTGACCCCAGATCTGGGTCTCATGGTCCTGTGACATTCTGGATAAAGGGACACGATAGTTCAACTAACATTTCAAGGGCAAAAAGCATTGTTATCAATGAAAGTGAGATTTCCCTTGTAATCCCAGAAACAGGGGCCCCAGTTCAGTGGAGATGGATAAATTATATAAAGCAATTACCTGATTCAGAAAAGGAACAGAAAAGCTTATACCGAACTTGGTTGGGATTATACACAGTCCTCTCTTTTTCCAACAATTCTCCCTGGGGGAATAAAAAAAGGACAGAAATTCTTATAAACCCTTCTGCACACAGTTATGTCAGATCAGATATGCTTTCTGTCAACATCTTTGCACCAAATCACCAAATCAGGACAGGACACGTTTGGGACCATCAATAGAGTCACTGCCACAACTGAATTGTGCCCTGGTCATGTAGCCAAAAATGAAAGAGGTAACAATTTGGGCTCTAGTTCCTCAAGCGCAGCTGTAGCACAGCTCATTCATGGAGTCTTCAGTTCCTAAGGTAGCATCACTCAGGTTATCTGAGAATCTGCATTGGGTCAATGAACCTAATGATCTTGGACTGTCCTTGCCCCAGGGAGAAAGGTAATGATGTCCTCTCTCTGCTTTTTATTGATTTATCTGAGTAACGCTCTAAGATAAGAGGTTAAATAATTATCCATACTTTGCAGATGATGAAACTGAGGCCAATTCCAAGAATATAGAATTATTGCCAAGGTCTAATTTATACATTATTGTCAAAGGCAAGCACCAAACTGCAGTGTTTTTAGACCAGGGCCAGGGTTCTCATTAACATGTTGTTTCCAAAAGGCACATAAATGTGCACAGGTGAACCATGACTGATGGGCTGCGGTGTGGAGTGTGGGCGGGAGCCTTCACGGTCCTGGGTGGGGAGCAGTAGGATAATTTAAAGGCGTGGCTATGTTGAGGTGCCAAATCCAGCAGTCTCATAACTTGCCCACTAAACTGTTAGTTTTGCATTTGGGAATTCAGCAAAAAGGCATCCAAGCCATCAGACCCCTCGCTCCCAATACTTACTTGTTGAACTTGTCAACCTCAGCCCTCCGAGCATAATACTGGGCGCTTGTCATGCACTGGTCCCAACACCTGGGCAAGGTGAACGCCTCAAGCTTCTGATTGAAGTGCGTCAGATCTCCTTCTTGGTACATGTTTATCCTCCTCACCTTTCCAAAAAGAGAAACACCAAGGCCTTGTTGGTGGCAACGACTGGGATTGGGAAAGGGGGGCAATCTTAAATTAAGCTTCCAGCCCTTAGCAGCACCTGCTCATCCTTTGATCCCATAAGAGATGCCCAAGATACAAAGTCACTCTTCCTCCAGTGACTGACCCACTGTGACTCATGTCACCAAATTCCCAGCTTACTTTCTCTGGTGGCTGCCCGCAGGTCATGGCCACTTCACTCATCCAATACTCGGCGATGAGCATCGCCTGGGGCCCCCCAAAACCACGGAAGGCTGTGTTGGAGGCCAGGTTGGTCTTGCAAAGATATCCAGTGCCCCGGATATTAGGGATTTTATAGGTGTTGTCCATGTGGAATAGAGCTCGGTCCATTATCTGAATCAGAGGAAATGATTCAAAATGAAAGGCAACGATGCATTAATTTTATTGGTTTCTCAAAACTGGTGCACCAAGGGGTACACTCAGGCCTGCCTTTCCCATCCCACCATCAAGGGCCCTTCCTCAGGTCCCAGCTGCCCCACGTCCTCCCCAGGGCATTGAAACATCCTCCTCGTTCCACCCTAGCTACATAAAACAATCTCCTGTCCCAGCTGCCCCACGTCCTCCCCAGGGCATTGAAACATCCTCCTCGTTCCACCCTAGCTACATAAAACAATCTCCTGCAGCCCCCCTATGGGGTAAACCCTGCCCAGATGCTCTCTTGCCTCTTTAAAAATATATAACTGATTCTTATTAATAGCCAAGTTTTAAACTTTTATTTTAATTGATTTTACTATTTGTAAACACCCTCCCCTGCTTTCTTTCCTTCCACTGTCCAGCAGCGGCCACTCACATTCTCCCAGCTCTTAGGTTAACTGCCACGTCTCTAAACAATGCTTTTATACTGCTCATGTTAACTTGTTCAGCTGTAGACCTTTGTACTGTCTGTGCACAGGATTTAACTCCTGTCCACTCTTCTTTTCCCACGTATATATCAGCTTCCTATTCCCCAACATGTTTATGTTTTGAGCTCATCTATAATTTAATATTACAGCTCTGTAAACACAACAGCTAAACACACAGCTGCACGATTATTTCTCTCTTTCTTGATATCACTTGTTCACTCTGGAGTTAATAACTGGCTTAATTTTGTGTTCATTTTCCATACTTTTTACTAAACTGGCTTAAACATTTCCCCTCCTGGTAAACATCTACTCTTCCACTGTTCAATCATAATTTACTTTATATCAGTTTCATCATTTAGAAGAAATCATTCTTGGATTTCTTGGATTTGTCTGACCCAGTTCAGTTTCAACTGGATGCCACCCAGCCTGCCTCTGAGCTGTCTGGAGTTTCCCTTGCAGCCACCCACGGATCTCTTTTGCTCTCTCTCTAGTGAGTCCCACTTGCTGGACCCCATGCCTTTCTTGTTTAGGTCTTATTCTCACATCTTATTTGGGAACATTCTCCAACATCATCTCAGGAAAGAAGACACAAAGAGGGACATGTTTGAGACCTGGGATGTCTGAAATCTCTGTATTATACACTCAACCTTAGCTGATGATTTGGCTGAACAGAGAACTCTACATGTAAATTTCCATCTTTATTGCATTTTGAAGGTACTTTACGAGTATATTCTAGCTCCCTAAACCTGAGAAGAATCCATGAATGCTTTTCCAAGTCTCAGAGAGGGTTGTTTAGATCTTCCTGAAAATTATAAAGTTTCTTTGCTCCCAGCTTCCTAAATTTCATAGTGATATAGCTTAAGTCTGATTTCCTTTATTGTGGTAGTTATTGGATGGGATTTTTTTAACCTCAAAATTTGTATTCACTAGTTTAGGGACACTCAGAAGTTGAGACAGGAGTTGAGACAGGGTCCAGGCTCCCCTTCAACTCACGGCAATTCTTCAGCCTCAGTCTCCCAAGTGCTGGGATTACAGGTGTACCCCGACTCTTGATTTCTTTCTGGGGTTGTTTAATTCTTTATTTCTGCAACTTCTATTATTCCAACTTCCTGAACTGATCCTTAAATTTTCTTTCCTATTTTTCCACATTGTTTGCTATTTTGGGAAGATTCCTGAAGGTTCTTTCAATTCCCTTTAGAATTTTAATTCACACGAGCTCATTTTTAGTCTTTGATTGTTTTGTTTTTATAGCATTCTGTTTCCCTCAAAGCTATAACACCTAATTTCTCCTAGAAGATAAATGGTAGCTTTCATTGTTTTTGCTTGTTTCATTTTAGCTATATTCTACTTTCCTGTGCACAGTATCTTTCCCACAAACTGATTTATGAGTCTCTAATCATTTTAGCCTTAGTCATGCTAGATAACTTTTTCTATGTCTCAATTAAGTCCATTTTGCTTTCCCTTAGAACTTTGTCAGCTTACGCTTCTATTTCTTTTTTCTTAAATCTATCTCTTATGCCATATTGTGGATTTATTGAGGCAGACATGAATGCCATATTCCTTATATTGCCACCCCAGGCACTCAAGAGATGTTGACTGTACTGAATTAAAACTCTTGTGAGATCGTTGGGGACAACTACTTTATGATTTTCATTCCAAAACCTCATGTTATACATGGTGAGAACACTAGAAATATTTCCCTTTTTTGAGCAATTTTCACACTAGAATGAAGTGTAAAGTTTTATACTTGAGCCAATAAAACATCCCCCAGCAAAAAGGAATGGGGTCTGAAGGATATAACGGGAAACTTTTGCTTTTCATGAAATGTGTTACTAAAAAGAAAAAAAGGAATCTGTATGTATATAACATTTAGCTAGTATGATTAGAAAATTAAGATTTAACAAACCATTAAAATGTTATCAAGGTATATTTGTCAATTCTCAACTGATTTTATTTTACTAAAGTTTCTAGCTATTTTTTAAAGAACACAATAAGCCAAATTCATTTATCCAAGCTGTGACCATGTCAGTGAGGACTATATAATGCCCCTTTCTGATTTTAAACCAGTCATTTTTAATGTGACTGAAGGAATGTCCACTGAGACTAAATATGAAAACCCAAAACAATCACCTTTGACATTACTTGAGTTTCTATCCTGGAAAAAATATCGCCTTCCTCTTTCATGATTCTAACAAGTACCACTAAAATGTGCATATTATATGCATTTATTTCAAATCGATCATGGCATAATAATATTCTGAAAAAAGGCAGATTCACAGGACCTCAGGCCATGAGGAATGACGTGATGATGAGTTTGAAGGTTTTCTTTTTGACCTCAGTATCTCAAACTTGGAGCAAAAGTAGGTAATCTAGAAATGCCAGTGATTCTAGAGGCCCTTCCTATCCCTCCATTGTGCTCTCTCTAGCCAGAGGACCAGGGAAGTGGCAGCCCAGCAAAATGGAAAGTTTTTTAGCCAGTAACTGGTCCAAGCCAGCCATACACCACCGAAAAATGTTGTGAGGTTCCATTCCTAATCAAGCATGCAAAAACTCAGTGTAAGCCCATATACTCCCATTCCTTCCTCTACAATAGGATACTCTAACACTAATCAGTGGCATCAAGGAAAGTTAGGGGACTTTCAATCTTAGTGGTCAATAATGAAGCCCTGGCCTCATCCTGTGGAGTCACTGGAGGACACGTGAACAGATTTCCATACCCTCAGCAATAAACACAGTGTTCATTTTTGTCTGCTGGATGACATCAAAAGAAACCTACAGAGTTAAGGCTTTCACCATAGCCCAGTGATAAACAGCCCACTATAATGTCAGAGGAGAGCAAGAGGAACTGAGAGCCCCATCCCTGCCCAGCGATAAGGAGTTGCCCCCAACCCTGGGTGCCAACAAAAGTCAGTGCCACCTCCTTCTCACAGTAATGAGGTAGCACTCGCTTCCATTTCCCCTTACAGACACAGGGTCATAAACAACCAATTAAATTAGAATGCTTCAATAGTATCCCAGATCTCAGAATATTACCATCATCATTACCATCGTCTATATATTGATATTGACCTTCTCCAGGTTTAAGTGAAAAAAATTTACTTATACCAAGAGATGGGAAGATCTCAAATTGAGTAATAAAAGATGCCAACACTGAGGTGATAAAGTTGTTAAAATTATGACAATAGTTTTAATATAACCCTCATAAAAATGTTTCTATGAGCCATTATGAACATTTGACACAAACAAAAAACCCTAAAAAACATTAGGAGGTAAACAGTCTCAGTAAAGAACCTAACTGACATTTTATAACTGAAAAGTACAATAGCCAAAATAAATATCTCATTGATTGAATTAAATAGAGGAGAAGAGAAGAGGAAAGACTTACTGGACCAAAGTGTAAAATAATACATGTTATTCAGCCTAAACTACACTGAGAAAATAGGGTGAAAAAATATTAACAGAGCTTTAGGAGCCTGTGAGACTACAACTAAGACCTAAAGTTCATGTTATTAGTCCTGAAAGACAGGCGAAAGAGAGAGGGGTTAATAAGCACTCAAGAAACAACAGTGAAAACTTTCCAGAATTTCAAAAGCTACAAATTGAAGATTCTGAATGAGTTTCAAACAGAACGAACCTGAATAACTCATGACAACATATATCGTATTTAAATTTCTGAAAACTAAAGATAAGAGAAAAGCATTAAAAGCAGCTAGGGAAAACGATACACTATCTTTTTTTTTTTATTTAAGAGGAAAAAGAGAAAAACACAAAACAAAACAAAGCAGTGTAAGGTTACACATAATACAGAACTACAAAAAAAAACATAACAGTAAGAAATCACCTGTTAATAGATTACATATTATCATCTTGGAAATAGTTGCTCAAATCACAGTATCAAAGAATACAAAGTAGACATTCAAACAGAGAGACTACAAACAGCTGTGTTCAATGATCCAAAAACATTAATATAGTCAGCTATTTAACACCCCTAAACACACTTGCTGTTATATCCGTTAGAGCTCTTTTTTTTTCTCCCTCTCTTTTTTACAACAAAATTTACACATTTTGGATTTTATTACTCCTTAGTTCTTATTACTTTTTTTGGGGGGGAGAGAATAAAGTCAAATATGGCAAAACAAAGCTGTCAGTCAAAACCAAGGATAGACATAGCACATGATGTACAACAGAGTACACAAACCAACAGCCAGCATCATACTAAATGGCCAAAAATTGAAAGCCTTTACTTTAAAATCAGGCACAAGACAAGGATGTCCTTTATCACCATTCCTATTTAATATAGTACTGGAAGTACTAGCCAGAGCAATTAGGCAAGAAAGAGAAATAAAAGGGGTAAAGATAGGAAAAGAAGAAGTTAAGTTGTCATTGTTTGCAGATGACATGATACTGTACATAGAAGACCCCCTAAGCTCCATTGAAAGACTCTTAGATACAATAAATAAATTCAGTAATGTGGTTGGATACAAAATCAATACTCAGAAATCAATAGCATTCCTATACTCAAACAACAAAATCACAGAGAGGGAAATAAGAGAAACTGGACTATTCACATTAGCAAGCAAAAAAATGAAATATTTAGGAATTACTCTTACGAAAGAAGTGAAAGACTTATACAGTGAAAACTATAATACACTGAAAAAGGAAATTGAAGATGATCTCAGAAAATGGAAAGACATCCCTTGCTCATGGATAGGAAGAACAAACATTGTGAAGATGGCCATTCTCCCAAAACTGTTATATAGATTCAATGCAATCCCAATAGAAATACCATCAACATACCTTATAGATCTAGAGAAATCACTCCTAAATTTCATCTGGAACCAGAAGAGACCTAGAATCGCAAAGGCAATTCTAAGCAGCAAAGACAAAGCAGGAGGCATCACAATCCCTGACTTGAAATTATACTACAAAGCAACAGTAGTAAAATCAACATGGTATTGGAATCAAAACAGAGCTGAAGATCAATGGAATAGATTAGAAGATACAACCACAGCTACAAACACACTCAACCACCTTACCTTTGATAAAGGAGCCAAGCAGGTTCACTGGAAGAATGACAGTCTCTTTAATAAATGGTGCTGGAAAAACTGGCTCTCCATTTGCCGAAAACTAAAGCTAGACCCATGCCTATCACCATGTACTAAATTAAAATCTAAATGGGTCAAAGATCTGAATATTAAAACAGAAACACTAAATCTATTGGAAGACAAATTGGGTAGGAACCTTGGAGACATAGGGGTAGGTAGAGAATTCATGAACAGGACTCAAACCGCGTGGGAAATACTTCCCAGATACACTATCTTTAGAGGAAAACTGATCGGAATGAAAACAGATTTCTCATCAGAAAAGTAGAGAGAGTATCCTGGCTTTTCAGATGCTAAAAGAAAAGAACTTTTAACCCTGAACGAATACAGTTTGTCCCCAGCCAACCCTTGATAAAAGAAAGGCCAAAAGAAGTTCTCCAAATAAGAAGAAAATGATAAAAAGAGCCTTAAAACACTGAAAGGAAGAAAAACAATGTTAGCAAAAACTTGGGATGATAGAGATATATTTTCTCCTCTTTAGTTTTCAAAATTATTATTCATAATTGAAATAAAAATCATAATGCTGTCATGATGCAGCTCTAAAGCTATATAAAGGAAATATTTAAAATTAATATAAGTGGGGGAGGGTAAAGAGTAATAGAGACAAAATTCTATATTTCACTAAAAATAGGGAAATGACAACCCACCATAGACCATGATAAGTTGTGTACATTAAACATAATATTTTGAGCAACCAACAAAAAAAGCTAAACAAGAAATACTTTGAAAAACATTGAGATAAGTCAAAACTGTTTGAGTACTCCATAGAGAGGCAGAAACACAGAGAAATAAAAAGCAGAGGAAAAAAATGAAATCAAAAAAGCAAAAAAGATAAAGTTATAGACTTATGCCCTAATTTATGAAAGTTCATATTAAATGTGTATAATATAAACACAATTAGAAGACAGAGATTAACAATAGATTTTAAAACATGGCCCATTTACACACTGTATTCAAGAAAATCACTTCAAATATGACAGTATAGGTGGATAAAACTGATTTAAAAATAAAGAATAACAGCTGAGGATTTAGCTCAGTAGCATAAGCATCTTCCTGGCAAGTGTGAAGATGTGACTTGAGTCCTGGCAGACACACACACACACACACACACACACAAAGAATAAAACAATACAGGCAGGAAAGTAAACATGGGAAAATATACCACAAAGAGTTAATTAAAAGAAATCAAGAGTAGCTTTATTAACATCAAGTTAAAGTAGACTTTGGAGCCAAAGAATTAGTAGGGATATTATAGAATAAAACCATCAATTCTCCCAAACTATAGAGCTGAAAATTTGTGAAGCAAAAACTGGAGGAGACATTTTAAAAAAGAAAAAGAAAAAGAAAACTCACTACTGCAATTGGAGATTTCAATGCTCCTCATTCAAACTGATAGACAGTCTAGGTAGAAAATCAGGAAAGACACAGAAGAACTGAACACCACCACCATCCTTGGGACCTAAGGGACATTTATAAAGCATTCTATTTATAATAGGAAAAATTCCTCCTGAATTATCCAAATCCCACAGTTGGGGAGCACAGAAACTTTGAGTACCATCTTACACGCCAAAGATGTGACAGTGTTGAGGAATGTGAGAGGAGAAGCTTACTCTGGATTATTCGGGTGGAACCTTACCGCAATCACATGTTTTAGTGTTTAAAAAGGTAGCGGAAGATAAGAAAAGACACACAGGAGAAGGCGACGTGAGGACAGGGACAGTCAAGGCGTGCCGCAGCCACCCAGAACCTAAAGAGTCCAAAGAGTGGATTCTGCCCTGAGCTCCCAGAAACAATGTGACCCTGCCCTGAGTTCAGACTTCTGGACTTCAGAACTGAAAAACAGAAAGTTTCTACTAGACATGCTGTTAAAACTAAATGTAGCCTGAGAATTCCTCTGGACTTACGCCCTTGTGTAACAACTGCATCCCATTAGTTCATAAACTAACCAAAGTTTGTGTAGCAGCTGAGTCTCACGGGCTGAGCTCCAGTCTCTCACAAGAGGAAAACCGAGCAGACCACGTGAGACAAATGCCAAGCAGCAAGCCGGCAAGCAACTTCATCCCTCATTTCTGATTCTGTCCACAAATGCCACCTGCCCACGCTGTGAAGTGGCCCTCTCTGAACCTCTTCTGGTTCTTAGAGTGGGTTGACTCACAAATTACTCTTTCGCAGTTAAACTCTGCTGAATTTAATTTGCCTAGTTTTACTGTAACTATGTACAAATTAATAACACAAGCATATGTATACACACACACATACACACTCAGTCTCACCACTCAAAACACAAAGCTTGATAGCTAACATTGCTAGCTTGGCAAAATACGCTTCAAATCAGAGAAGTAACATGATCATCTCTGTGCTTTTAGGCATTAAAGTTGGTGAAGCTAAGAGTAGGGATCAAGGGACCTATTGAAAGAGCAACAGGCAAACATCCAGGCAAGAATCCAGGAGGTCACCAGGCTGTGGGGCACGTCCTTGAACCCCTCGCTGCTCCTGCGTGCAGGTGTAGGTCCTACTTACACTCTCGGAGAGATCCCGGGTGTTCCCACAATTGCTGAAGTGATCCACTTCCAGAGCCACAATCTTCCCATCCTTCATGAAACCAACCTGATAAAAGAGGAGTGATTTCTCAACAGGGCCTTCCTCCCTCTGTCTCTGCTCCTCCCCTTCACTTATGCTACCTGGGAAACCAAAAGGACCAGACATCGCAGCATGGAAAACAAAATGACCGTGGGACATCACCAGACTGAAACAGGTAGAAAGGAATGAAACCTCCCCAGTGCGGTACCCTGGCTTCTGGACTCTGACACTCTGACCCATGCCCTACATCCTTTCTACCTGCCCACAACTCCTAAGAGAAAGGAGGAGACTGTAGAAGAGAAAGGTGCTTGTGAACGGGCAGAGAAGATGTTAGGAAAACAGGAAAGTCACGAGAAAGGCGCCTCACCATTTTGACTGGTGAGAGCCTGTTTACACATCCTCAACCTTATTTAACCATTAAAAACACCGAATCAAAAACTGGATGCCTGGAATGCATAGACATTTCTCAGGAGATGTACAAATGGCCGACAAATACACGAAAAAGGTGTTTGCCATCACTGGCCATTAGAGAAATGCAAATTAAAACACTGACATTTCATTTTACTCCAGAAAAAAGTGACTGTCATCAAGAAATCAAATAACAAATGCTTGGGAGGATTTGGGAAAAAGGAACTCTTCTACTATAAATTCCATTCAACCCAGCTATTCTCTCTCTAGGAATCTCCCTAAAAGAATTAAAGACAATATTATAGTGATACATGTATACCCATGTTTATAGCAGCACAATTCATAACAGCTAAATCTTGGAAGCACCTTGTATGTCTATCAAGTGTGAATAGGTAAACGGAATGTGTCATCCACACATAATGGTCTGCCATAAAGAAAAATAAACTTGACTCATTTGTATGCACCTTGAGATCATAACGTTAGGTGAAATAAATCAGACCCTGAAGCTTAAATATTACATGATTTCTCTTATATGAGAAACACAAAATAGAAATAAAGAGCAAAATAAAAGGTAGATTGTTAGAAGTAGAGAGATAGATCTTTTTCCAATATGCAAGAGATCAAGAGATGGAGGAAGGGTTGAGGGACGCAAGGAGAGAGGATGGAAGAATTGAGATGTGATCTGCACGTTTACCAACTCCTTAGGATGAATGTGATCATTGTGTACTGCAAACATATAAAAATTAAAACTGGAAAAAATGGGACAAAGAGTAAAAAAAAAAAAAAAAAGTAACCAAAACCCATTTTGTGGCCCATTTTATATGCATGAAACTAAGACCCCAAAGATCAAATTGTTATCTTCAGGCTCCCAAAAATTTAGGAACAAATGAAGTTGAATGTCTTTCTGGGACATATGAAATTAAATCATGAAATAAAGTCAAAACAGGACAAAGAAGAGTTATTCAAGGTCATGTCATGACAAGAGAGGACTCGCCCTGAACCATACATAGAGCTAAGCTGAGCCACACATGGAAGGAAGGACACGTCAGTCAGAACAGGAGCTACCCATCCACCGAGCCCAGAAAGGGGACTGTCCTAGAGAGAAGGTTGGGTGGTGTCCTTCTGTGTCAAAGTAGGTGCCAGCCTAACAGCCTGTGCCTGTCTGGGACTCTGGGAAGTTTTATTTCTCACTGTAAATTACTCAGCAATCATTCTGATTTCCACATCAGACTGTGAACATGTTAACAACAGACATAAGATGGATAACCCCAGGTCTGCTGAAAAATCACAGTCCTGAGCCTGACTGGTCACAGATCATAGCAGATCCCCACAGAAGTCACCTACAGCCCCTTGTGATGTCTCTTGGGAGATGACCTGCAAGCCTACTCCAGCACATTTTCTATGTTGCTCTTGGTGGATCTGAGCTACAGTGCTGTCCTTTCTTGCACTTCTATAGATACTGTGGTCATCAAAAAGTAAGAGCAAAGCCCAGGGTCCCTTGAGCTTCTTCCCCAGATTCCTTCCAAGAAGACGCTGCCACCCAGACACACCCCCATCTAGAACCTTGTATCTGGCCAGGAAGGGGTGTCTGCCACCCGTGATTAGCATGTCTTCATCACGGTCCAGCATGCAGCGCACAGGACGGCCGGTCCTGAGTGGAAAGCAACAGAGTTAGAAACCCTCTGGGTCTTCGACAGTAGCCCACATCTGTTGATCTCAGGGGTGCAAACAGCAAGGAAGACACCTCTCTCCACCAGGCACACAGGGAGATGGCTGTCAGGTAGGGGACAGAGGTGGAGACATAGCCACACAGGTCTAAGGACAAAGCAGCAGGTGATGTTATCTTCACCCTTAGACCCAAAGTTCTAGAAACATAGTTATGAGAATTCAAAGCCAGGGGAAACTACTTTCAAAGGGACAGATCCAGAAAGCCTTCCTGGAAGAAGCATCCTTGTTCCTTTCCCCAGAGCCACGGGGAGAAGCAGGCCTTGGAACTCACTTGTGTGCAGCCAAGGCCACTGCGGTGGACAGCACCGTACTCCGGGTCTCCTTTCCCCCAAAGCCTCCTCCCATTCTCTTCACTCGGACTACAATCCGGTTGGCTGGAACCCCCAACATTTTTGCAACAAAGTTCTGTGGGAGAAAACAAAAATAACCCTCATACTGATGCATGCATGGATTTATTTCAGAACTGATATGCACGGGGCTGTTTACTTCGCTGAGTAGAAAATGCCCTCCCCTTGCAGTGCAGCCTGGGTTAGCCGTGTGGGTTCCAGCACTCATCGGTTACTACAGACTGAGCTCAGGCTATTCAGACATTGTTTTTAACCGCAGTGGGGGAGATCATAGCATATTTTCAGAGTCTAAATCCATTCTATCTGGCAAGACGCTGGTGGGTAGGACCAGCTGACAAAAATGCTGACAACTGCTGCCACATTCCACACAGCAGAGGATATTTGAGCTGCCACAGATAAGTTAGTGCCCTTGGCTATGGCTTAGCCTCTTTCCTTCGATTTAAAGATGAGGAAACTGAGATGGGTATGCTTGGACCAACACCACATAGCATTACAATAAGAACAAATGCTTGCCAACCTCTAGTGCAAGCATAAAAACTCATCTAGCTGGGGATATTACTCAGTGGCACAATGTCTGCCTGGCAAGTGCAAAGTCATGAGTTCGATTCCTGATACCAAGACATAACAAAACAAAATCTCATCTATTTGATCCAACAATCCTACCAGGCTCCATTTTATAGATGAAGAAACTGAGGTAAAGCAAGGTTATGTGACAAACTCAGTGGCACCAAGCTTGCTGATGACACGGTCCAGTTCCAGGACCAATGTACCCAAGTCCCCTTCAGGCCCAACCCAGATCTCCCTCTCCCCATTTTCCATCTTGCTCTTCAGACCTGCCAGGGCTCCCCAGTTACTGCCCTAGTGCCTAAGTTGACCCACATGTCACTTACTTGGGTCTTCATGGTGTTCTGGGTAGATACGAAGAGCTCCATCTCCCCTGACTCTCCTTTGGGCACAGCGATGGTGCAGTGAGTCTCCAGGTAGAAGTGGTCCTGGCCTCCAAGGTAGAGCTCTCCTGGGGAAGCAGAGAGCCCCGCTGGGAGTCACATGCTGTATAGGGGCATGTCTGCTCAGGGAGAGAACGCACTCTGCCAAGCAGCCTGGGCAGTAGTTGCCTATTCACAGGTAACCTCTGTATTCCCTGGCTGGGGGGGAAATGGGCCTCAAAGTCTTAGCCATCTGTGGGTCATGTATCTTCCTCAGCAGTCCCAAAGAAGAAATTAGAAATAAATCAAAGAAATAAAAATGAAACAGATAAATAAATCAGGTGCAAAGTTCTTTCCTCACTGCAGTGAGTGAAATTATAGAAAGGATTGTAAAAGATTTCCAAAAGATTGTAAAAGGTAAAGAAGAATAAGAGATATGATTGAGACCACAATGTTAAGTGAAATAAATCAGACACACAAGCTAACATATTCTGTGGTTTACTTTATATAAGAAATCCAAGAGATAATTAAAGAGCAAAGTACAAGATAATAGGAATGAGGGAGATAGATCTTTTTGCAAAAGGGAAGGGAACTAGGTATGAAAGAAGGAGGGAGAGAGGAAGGGAAGGGAATAGAAAAAGAATTAAGACGTGTTGTGTACATGCACCAACCTCCTCTAAGGAATGTCATAATGATGCACTGCAAACATGTACCAGTAAAAATAAAAATTTTAAAAGGTGTGGTTTAAAAGCTCAAAATAAGGGCATCTTGTAGGACTGAAGCTCTCAGGTCTGTTGGAGAGCTGACTGCTCGTGACTGAGCAATGCCCGAGTACCAAGGCAGGAAGCAATTCCAGAGGGGGCTGGTGGATAGAACTGTGTACCTAATCTCAGAGTCAGAGACAGATGGGGGGGGGACAAGGTACAGGAAACAGCTAGCAGAGGGTGAGAAGGCAGCACCTTCAGGCCGATGGGGAGGACAAGGAGCTGCGTGGGTAGAGTCCTGGCAGAAACGGGACAGGACACAGAGGTCACGGGAAGCAGGATGGAATGAGATTTCACCTCAAGTCCGGCCCTGAGCTGACCACACCTGTGGCCCATATCTTCCCCAGTAAACCAATAAACACCATGTATAATGTCTCCACGATCACTTAACGCATGTCCATCCCAGAGACAAGAAGGGTAGAAAGGACAGTGAGTGAGGCTCTGTGGCAGCCAGTGGTCGACTGTTTTGTTACAAATGTCAGAGGAAGCTTCCACTAGGAAATGTTTAGAAGTCACTTCCCTGCTCCAGGGGTCAAAGCATATCTCTTGACTTTAATTCACAAAACAGGGCTGTCCTATCCCAGTGCTGCATGGCATAACTGTACCTGAAACAACATTATCTGCTTCAGCAAACCCCTTCTTGAGATCTCCTTTCTCGATCTGCAGCTCATATTTATAAAATGAGTTGTTCTTTATAGCATCCTGTGGACCAGAAAGCAGCGTCAGTAGTGTGGCTTTAAGGGGAAGGCAGATGGCTCGTGATTGGAACAGAATTCTCTGATTGCTGTCTCTTTCTTTTTCTCCCTCACCTCCTGCCATCCCTCTCTTTTCTTACATGAATCTCTGTAAGCTTCAGGCACAGACTTAAAGTATCCCAGGGAGTCACACTGCCTAGCTCCTTGGCTTAGATGAACAGCCCTGGGTCTTGAGGAAAAACAAAAACAAAACAAAATAAAATCCCATAAGGTACCACCTGGAACCAAGGTTTGGTGAGATGAACTCCGTTTGAATGTTAGCAAACTGTGCCCAAGTTTATGAAAAGAAAAATTTCATAGGATCAAAACCCCTAGGATTGGAAAGGATTTTGAAATCCATTTACAGGTGCTTACACTGGGGTTATGCCCCAATCAATCTGTTGTAAATTTAAAATTTTGTAAGTTAAAAATGCATTTAATATGCCTAATTTACCAGACATTATAACTGTGCCTGGCCTACCTTAAACATAATTAGAACACTTACGTTAGCTTATGATAGGGCAAAATCACCTAACATAAACCCTGCTTTAAAATGAAGTACTAAATATCATGTATTTATCGAACATTCTGCTGAAAATGCAAACAGGTATTGGTATGCTCTCACACCCCAGGAAAGCTGAAAAATCAAACATCATTTTAGTAGAACTATGGCAAGCTAGGGACTGTCTATAGTCTAAGCCCTGCCTGATGCTCCAATCACCTCTGGAGGATCCTAATGAATGTACCTGCAGGGAACTGAAGATAACATTTACTACTAGAATTCTTGCCCTCCATGGGCAAGGCTGAGTTCAATTCCCAGCACAACACTGAATGAATGAATGAATGAATGAATGAATGAATGAATGAATGAATAAGCCTACAGGGGCAGAGATCTGACTCTCCACACAAGCAGTGCTGCCCAGTTACCTCAATTGTGATAATGGCTGGAAGGTCCTCATAAGTGATTTTCACCCCTTGAGCAGCTCTCTGTGCGTGTTCTCTGGTGTCAGTGACCACAGCACCGATGATGTGCCCAATACAAGTAACCTAGGAGCAGAGACAGTGTGTCAACAAAACTAGAAGCTTCTCATGAAGAAAAGCATTTATAGATTTTCAAAAAGACAAAGGAAGGCCCTGCTCTGACCATCAAAGCACACTTCAGAAATGCCCTGAGGCCTTTCCATTCCCTTACCCTGCTAATTGAGTTTATAGGAGTCTCTTTATAAGTGCTTAGGTTCATTTGAACTGGACAAGGCACAGAGATCACTGGGATCAGAATAGAAAGAAACTTCAAGGACCAATTCTGTTCTTTAAGTACTGGTAGCCTATTGTGAAGATGCACAGAATAGAAAGTGGAAATTGATTATTGATGTCTGCTCCAAGCAGATAAGGTACCAGGGAGTGTGTAAGCCAACTCACCTGTACTTCAACATCCTTGTCCTTCATATGAAGAGATGGAGACCCGAAAGGCAAAGTTACAGCTGGCTGTAGATACCAGACCTTGACTAACTCTCACGCCTTGACTCTTGGTTTAGTTATAAATCCCCACACTACTCTTTTTTATGTGCTATTTCCCAGGTTTATACCAGAAGCTCCTCAGAGACTGAAACCTAGTCTTATGCTTCATCTAGATGCCCAAAGCAGTAGCTCTCAGATCTCTGGATCTTAGATTTGATGATCCCCAAACAAATTTTTCAAGTTATAGAACTGAAAGAGTAATGATTTTTTAAAAAAATAATTCATAAAAGTTAATGGATCTCTTTCAGGGATATTTTCCATTGATTTTTACCCCAAAAATAAATAGCAAAAATTGTTTTTCAATGTATTACTTTGGGATACAAAGTATCTAACAATATAAATCAACACTTAGCATGAAAGTCTCTGATAATTGTCTCTCCAGGGCCCAGTTAAATTATTGACTTAGTTTGCTAATGCCCTGCTGGGTATATCTAGCTGACTCTCACCAACCAAAATGCTAGCAATGCTCCTTGGGGTTCTTGAAACTTGTAAAACGATTTGTTTTCTAACAATACTTTCCTTATGGGGTCCTTGTGTTTACTATGAGAAGTGTTTTTGGTTTTTTTCTTCACCTTTACATCAATAATAAGGTGAATTTACCTTTAACTCTAACCTGCTTGTACCTAATCTGTAACATTTGATCTGTGTTAGAATTGTAAAATGACCACCTGAGAATTATCCTATGAGTAAAAATAGAAGCATTATTATAGCATCTGTCTTAAAGATTTGGAAACTCTTTGTTCTTGTGGAAAAACTCTATATAACCAACATCAATAAATGAACTTTCATATAAGGACATATTCTGTCCTTCACAGATTGTCCTGAATGCCGGCCTATTGAATGATGATCACTATGTATGCAAATATATCATCTTTCACCATTACAGATAAGCAATGAGTATAAATTAAAAACCTTAATAGTTATTTCACATTCTTTCCACAAAAACCCAAGCATACCTCATCCTTTGCAAAGACCGTTTCATCATCAAAAAGTCCAGTTACATTGCTTCCAGGAATATCCTCAGCTGAGAGGAAGCAAACAAATCCCGGCACTTTCTGAGCTTCTGAAGTATCTATGGACCTACAAAAAGGAGCTGTGTGAAGGGCCAGGTTGGCAAACTGAAGCAGAAAATCTGTCACATGGATTGGATCACCCACCTGTCCTTATTTTAATGAACCTTCTCCCACTCTAATTTGTTCTTTTCTATCATCTTTCTATTAGAGTTCAATTCAATTAACATATTCTTTTCTGAAAATACAATTAAATGCCTACGTGAATATTTAGCACTGCTGGGGAAATAATGAATAAAACGGGCCTTGCCTCCGTGGACCTTATGATATATCATGTCCGGTCTCCAAGTCTAAGAGAACCACACGCTATTTGAGCAGCTTTTATTCTGGAGAGTTCTGTCTCAAATGTACCTCACCAGCCAACATCTGTTCAGAAGCAGCACACTGGAGCCTTTGGTGTGCCCTGAAAATCTGCACATAGCCGAATTTCCCTCCTCACATTATAGTGCTATGTCAGCGTAGCAGGACAGCCTTAGACATAATTAGACAATATAACCTCAAAGGGAGAAAGCCTGGAGGGTTTAGCAATTATAGCAGACTAAATTGTTATCCTTCTGGCCCAGCTTCCCACAGGGAAAGTGAGGCAGAGGTATCTCTGGGAAATGTATGGAAATCCACAAGTATTAACCATCTTCCAGACAGTTCCTCCTCACAAGACACCCTGAAAGTAGCTATTATTATCCTCATATTTATGTGGGGAAACTCAAGTTCATAAGCAGCTTGCAAAAAAATCGCTCAGCACAAAAGCAGCGTAACTGAGATTAGAACTGAGGTTACACTGCAAGGATGCCAAGGTAAATGCAGCGGCTTCTGCCCCATCCCATGCCTTCCGAGTGCCAGCAACACATGAAGCTCCTGAGCACTGCAGTTATTACTATGCCCACCTCCCACCCTCCTTCATTCACTCGCACATTGCTTAATGGACATTAGTGGAGTGTAGACAATGTGGGTCGTGGTACTGGGCTCAAAGCAAGAACAAGGGTAAACAAATTCACCTCCTACCTGGCAACCATTCCAACTAAAACATTTTTCAAGAATCTGGAAAAGTTGTTCTGTGCGTGCGTGCATGCATTTGTTCGTGCGTGCGTACGTGCATGCATGCGTGCATACGAGCATGCGTGTGTGCATACGTGCATACGAGCATGCGTGTGTGCATACGTGCATGCGTGCGTGCGTACGTGCATGCGTGCATGCGTGCGTGCGTGCGTGCATGCGTGCGTGCGTGCATACGTGCGTGGGGGGACTTGCCCTTCTTGGAGCCTGTATCCAGGCTGGAAGTGACAGTGGAGAAGAAAGTCAGTCACCAGGAGACTTGATCCCTAGTCCAGGGAGATACAGGGCCAGGATGGGGATTTCCCTAGCTTTTCTGCTTAGCTGTGGTATGTGTCTAGCGTCCATGGAGTTGACGTTCAAGATCTTAGGCTTAAACATACAGAGGTGGCACAGCCCAGGTGCTACTTGGTTTCAAACACAGATTCCGTTTAAAAAAAAAAAAAGAGCAAACAAACACCCACTTTGGGGCTGGGGATTTAGCTCAGCGGCATAAGCACCTGCCTTGCAAGCAGGCGGTCGTGAGTTCGATCCCTAGTACCGATAAAAAGTTTAAAAAAAAAAAAGAGCAAAAAAAATCAAACACAGATTCCACCACTGACCAACTCTGTGGCCCTCAGCAAGTAACTTTCCCTGCTTCGGCCTCAGTTTCCTATACTGGAACAGAGAAATAGTAATAGGACCTGTCTACAGGGTTGTTGTGTTTGTTCTTTAAGTGCTAACTTAAGTTTCTCTGGAAATTTCACATTTAAATTTAGCCTGGTATTCAAGGTGCAAATCTAACCTAGTCCTGTAAAGTCTTTCAGTGGCTTTTTTGGGCTAAGTGCAGCCTCCCTGATTCTGGTATCCCTCCCAGCTTTTCTGAATCTGGGCCCTGCCTGCATTTCCAATGTTAGCATCCTTTATCCTCCCATGAAGAGACCTTCTTTTGGTGCTAGGGAGCCCTAGCTCCTCTTGTTCCCCTCCAGACAGTGGTTTTGAGATGACTCCTCATCCTCCTGGGAGGTCCTGGAGCATACTCGCTATCTTTATGCCTCCAGTGACTGAAAACATGTGAAAAATCGTATGGGTGCTCGCCCCAGGCTCCCCCATTACACTCACAAGATCTTGGCATGGGCCCGGGTGCTGGTGACCAGCCGGAGAGACAGCTCATTCTCGTAGCGAGGAATGTCATCACAGTACACAGCCTCCCCAGAAGCCTGCATGTGCGCAGCTAGGTGGGGCAGGGGTCGCCCTACCATGTCCTCCTCAGACTGACCAGGAGGCACCTCCTGGAACAACATGGTCACTAGTCAGGCAAAGGGCACTGTTTCAGGGTACACTGGGGAGAACTGGATGCCAGAAGACAAAGCAAACCTGAGGGAGTAGGAATGGAGGAGGCAGAGGGGTATGGTGCAAAGGAAAGAGAGAGGCACCTAAATAGTCACTAACCAGTGTGATCACAGTGTCAGTATATCAAGGAATCAAAAAAAAAAAAAAACCTAAATGCTCATTAGTCAGAGACTGGGTCATGCTATAGTCACACTATGCAATAGTATGCGACCATCAAATATACTTTTGAGTAAGTTTAATTAGAAGGAAAGAATGCTCAAAATAGGATACAGTAAATGCAAAGGTAAGATACAAACATTGTATTTGTATGTAATGATTCTAATTGAATAATAAAAAATATGCTACAATTATAGCATATGCACATCCATATGCATACGAAAAGTGGAAGTAAATAAAAATAAAATGACTTCCTTTGGAGATGAGATTTTGAGTGATTTTTGTTTTCTTTATATTTTCTGAAATGTTTTAAGATGTATAAATTTTACAATAAACTGTGCATTTGTTTTTCAAAGTAATAATAATGGCTAATATTGATCAAGCAATTACTATTTTGTACATTAGTAACTATCCAATCAGTTTACTTTTATTAACACATTTAATCCTCAAAAGTCATACTATGAAGCAGTATTATTACTATCAGTATGTGCAGGTGGGTGCAATTAATTTGCCCAAGAAAGGCAGAGAGGATAATTAATGTCCAAGGTTACACAGTTACAAAATGGTAGAGTTTGGATTCAAATCCAGGCAGTCACACGCTAGTTTCAGGCTCTGACCACTACACTCTAGTGAAAGTGTCAGTAAAGTGTGGCCTTTGGCCAAATTTGACCCACTGCTTGGTTTTAAAAATAAAGTCTGACGGTCACATAGCAAACTCATTCGTTTGTGTATTGTTCACAGTTTGCTTTTGTGCTAATGACACAATTAAAAAGTTTTAAAGGAGACTGTATTACACACAAAATCTAAAAGGTTTATAGAAAAAATTTGCAGCCCTTCACCTAGTACCTCCCAAAGTGTAGTTTATAGAGGAGCGTGTGTGTGTGTGTGTGTGTGTGTGTGTGTGTGTGTAGACACTCAACACTTCTAGCTTTTGCATGTTAGCCCCACAGAGCGGTCAGAAAATACAAAATGGAAAAAACATTTAAATAGGCATGCACATAAATCTAGTCAAATTTAGGTCTACAAGGGAGAAGAAACTATGCTGACATCAATGATTTCCATCTTTTTTTTTTCACTGCCTGTATATGCACAAGAGGAAGGAGCCCTATGACCTGCATACAATCTTAGCTGGCTTTTGTCCAGCAGTCAGCCTCTCATCACAAGATGCAGCTTCGGGGAGCCCTGGAATTAATATATACAGGGTGTACTCACTTGGAAGAGCTGGACATTGGCTGGAGGATCTTTCTGAAAGAGCAGAGTGGCACTGGCAAAAGTGGGGTCCAATGTGCCACACTTCTGTGGAGGTGAGAAAACAGAGGAGGCTATCACTATGTTGTGTCATAGGACCCTTCTGTGATGTCCCCAAGTGATAAAGCTGACAAGTATTCCCTTATCCCCTCCATATATACCCTCTGAGCAGTGGCTGGACCTATCTTAGCATCCAAATGTGAGCTCTGGAGCTCACATCTTCTAACTACCTCATTTTCATTTCCAACCATTCCACCCCTGTCAGTTGAGATGTCGGTGCTACCTCATCCTTCTCCCCAGCCTCCCTAGAAAAGTCTTCCTTGCCTCCCTCAATGCCAAGGGAAGTATTTATTAATATGGAACATGTTCACAAGATAATATCAACTAAAGGAAGGGAGATAGAAAACTCTCTATGCAGTGTAATCCTCAATCTGTTTAGAAAATGATAATATCCAGATCAAAAGAGACCATGATAAGAGATATAGCAACAGATGGATGGAAGTTCAGATAGAAACAGACGAGAGAGGGGGCAAACAGTGCAACAGATAAATGTAGGGAAAGTATCAGAGAAATAAACCAAAACACAAGCAGTGATTTTCTCTGGGATCTGAGAATGGGGGTAATTTTAGTTTTCCTCAAAATGATTCTGCATTTTTTTAGACTTCCCACCTTCTTATCTGCCCCTGGCCTCCTCCTCTACATATAAATCCACAGTCAGATCCACTCTGCATCCAGAAGGGCCATCTGGTCCCTTTTGCAGGTTTCACAATTGAGATGTGGGGACAGTCGTGGCTGCTCAAGTTCCAGGCTTAAGTGATAACAGCAGCAGGACAAGTGCTCAGGTCCTGGCCACAGCAGCCAGCCCCCCTCGCCATGGCTCCTGGGCTGAATCCCTGGTTTCTGCTCTTCTGCCCCCAGAAAACCAGGAGGGGAAGCAGGTTTCCCACCAGACCAGCCTCCCTGCCCACACTCACATCTTCAGGGTTGACTTTGCCCAGCTTCTGCAGCACGGTTAAGTAGAACTTGAAGAAGAAGCTGAGGGTGAGGGTCCGCCGGAAGTCCACCATGCCCCCAGGGGCATCGGGCTCCAGGCGCAGCTCCTCTGCCAGCTCTCTGCACACGTCCTGCAGGAGCTCCTCATTCCAGGACCTGTGGGGAACAGAGCTGTCATCATGGGAGCATGCTCCCTCGTAACCCTAATGGGATAGAGAATCACAGCACCTGGACCTTGGAGCCAGGCAAACTTAGCTGCGAATTTTGGCTGAGATGCTTACAGCTGCACGACTGGAGACACATTGCTTTAACCTCCATGGGCCTTGGTTTCCTCATAACTAAGAGTACATACAACTTTTAAAAATTACAAAAATAATAACTAAATCTACTGAGCACTTACAATGCCTGGAGAAAATCATAAGTACTTTAGAAGAACAGTCACTTTTAATTTAATTAAAGATTCTACTAGGGAAAGCTCTTAGACCCATTGACCAGAGAAAAGTGAGATAGGAAGAGACTAAGTAACTGGATTTGTGTCACCCATCCGATCAATGTCGGAACCAAGAAGCCAAATTTTATGTTAAACTGGTCTATCTCATGTAATATTATAAAGATGATATAGGTAATCCCAGTAAGTTGCTTGATACAATTGCTATTGCATGGTAGTCAACACAATAGTTGTAGTAGGATTTTGTAGAAATAGTAATAGCAGTGTAGCAGTAACAACGGCGGTAGTGGTGACAGGAGTGATACCACTAACAGTAGCAGGAGCAGCAGCATTACTACAGACAGTAACACCAGCAAGGGCAGCCACAATAATCAAGGTGGGGACGGAAGCAGTAATAATGGTAGCAGTAGGAGCAGAATTAGTAATGTAGCAATAATAATAGGAAGAACAACACTAGTAATACTATTCCTAGTAGAATTAAAAAATAGCAATAAGTAGTAACAGCAGCAGCAGCAGCAGCAGCAGTAGTAATATCAGCAATATTAGACAGCAATAGTGACAAAGAAGCAGTGATGCTGCTACTGATAGAAAATGTAGCAAGAGTAATGGTGCCACCATTGACCAGAGTGCTGGGAGTAGCCAAAGGACTAGGGACAGCAGGAACAGCAACAATGGTATGAGTACAAATACTACAAGAACCAACAGCAATAGTGCCATTAATAATAACAGTATTAGTAGAAAAAGGCACCAGTAGAAGTAGCAATAACATAGTAGTGATAATAGTGACATTCGTACTTATCGTATTAGTGATGTTAGTAAACATAACAGCAGTCATAGCAGTTATAGTAGTAGTAATACTAGTAGCAGTGATAATACCAATAGCCATAATGATAGTGATGATAGAAATAGAAGAAGCAGCAATAGGATCAACAGTAATAGTAGTTGTAGTTGCAGTGATAATAAAAATAGCAGTGATAAACCTGGCTAGGTGGTACAGGCCTATAATCCCAGCACTCAGGAGGCTGAGGTAAGATGATTGCTGTGAGTTCAAGGCCAGCCTGAACTACGTAAGGAACAAAGCAAAGCAAAGCAAAACAAACAAGAAACAGCAGTCATAATAATATTGAAAGTAGCTGTGGCAGCAGCAGTGATAATGGTGGTATAGCAATGACAGTATTGCATTCATGTGTCACTTAGCAACGGGTACACGCTTTGAGAATGTGTCCCTAGATGATGTCTTCATTGTGGGAACTTACATGGTACAGCCTACTACACACCGAGGCTAACCCATTGCTCCTAGGCTACACATGCGTGCATCATGTTACCATACTGAATACTGTAGGCAGTCATAACACAATGTGCTTGTGTATCTAAGCATAGCTAAACATAGACAAGGTATGATAAAAATACAAGCAGTAGGAACATTTCAGCTCCATTGTAATCTCGTGGGGCCACCATCATATACATAGTCCATTGCTGACCAAGACATTATGATGGCAAAGACTGTATTAATAGTTGTACTAGTAGCATTAGTAATCATAGAAGAAACAGTGAACATGTTAACAGTAGGAGCAGCAGTTATGGTCTCAATAAGACAAGGGCAGTGGTAGCATATTGACATGTTAGTAGTAGTCACAGTCGTGGTGGCTGAAGAGCTTTACTGAGCTACTAGCTCTTACTTGGACAGCTGCTTCTGAGTGGTCTTGAGAGCTGAGATGGTTCTGTTTGCCATTCCTCCATAGCAAAGGGACAGCTCCTTTACTTCTGTGGTCCCTGGCTTGAATAGCACTCTCATGCCACAGGTCACCTTGGCTATGTCATCTTCTCTCCTGGAGGCCTGCTTGAATGCTGAGAAGAACTCACCCTAAAAAAGAACAAGTTTCCCACCTGTTCTATGAAGAATGCAGATGGGAAGCCTCAGGTACACAGCTGAGAGTGAGACGAGGTGAGATGGTGTGAGGCGAGGGGTCTACACCGCGGAGAATCAGCAGGCAGGTGGTCTCATGAATCAGACAAAACATAACTGACTATATCTTTAGAAGAAGTTCCAGCTGATTTCTCAGAAGCCCGAAAAGGTCAGGATTTCTCCCTGTTATTTGGAAAAGCTCAAGCTGGGACAGCATCATATCAGTCCACTGAATGGGCAGCTGAGGTGAGGAAGATGCCTTCCCGGGGGCTCCTTGGAGACCTGCCCTGGTGTTCTGGATCAGAGGCTGCCCAACCTCTGCTGAAACTCTACTGACTTGGTGCCTCTCCAGCAAGGACAGGCAGATGCTGCAGGCTGGATGAAACTTCTCACTTGTGGTCTCCCCAAGTGTCGCCCCTTGTCCTTCCCACCAGTCTCTGGGAGATGAAAGAGCTGATGGCTTTATGCTTTGAGTACTCCCCCCACCCCACCCTTGGATTCCAGCCAGCTGTCTTTGGGATCAAGTAAATCACTTTCAAGGGAATGTGACAGTTGGTTTTGTCAGCTTGATTGCCTTGGGAGTCACACAGGGGATTAGAAAAGCACACTTCTGGTGAGTCTTGGAGGCGTGACCTTGGGGTCTACATCCGGTCCTTGTTTCCTGGCACCTTGTTTGGTGGTTCTGGTCCCCTGATCTGCTTCCTAGGCATCATGAGGTGAGCAGAATTCCTCTGCCAAACCCATCTCCATGATGTTCCTGCCTGGGACTCAGCCAACTACAGATTAAAACCTATAAATTTTTGCCAAAATAAATGGCTCCTCCTTTAAACTGCATGTTGAGTATTATACTCCAGCAGTGAAAAGCTGACTAATGTAGGGGAAAACCTTCTGATTTCAGCCCTTCCAGGTCAGGGCACTCTTGACATTTGCACCCACCCTAGCACTCACATTCTAAGTAACATCAAACAGAGGAGGTTAAAGACAGACCCTGCAGGAGGAGTACAGGAAGCTCACTGTAAAGTCCCCAAACGGCACAAGCCTGGGTGATGTCATGGCCCTGGGGAGCCAAGCCCAGTGTTTGAAGTTGGCTCTGGAGCAGAGCCAAGCTGTGGATTGAGTCTGGAGACCCATATCCCCTGCCATGTACAGTCTTATAACATTTTCACAGCCACCAGCTGTCAAGGGCTGGTTGACATCATCCTTTCTTGAGAAAGCTATTTCATTCTGGGCATTAAACTCTCCTCTCTTTTATGAAACAAATTTTTTCTTGTTTTTAATGCTTACACCTAGCAAAATAAAAACAGAATAGTACTGACTATTTTCCCTCCCTTTCCCCACTCATAGCTTAAGAAAAAAAAATGAGTCATCAGTGAAATTCAAAACTCTCAGAATCACTGCTCAAAATGGTCTATAAAGACAAGCTAGAAAATCATTAAGAAACCAGCTCAGGGCATAATTACTCTAATTGAATTAGCATTCTCATTAACGAGGTCAAAATCAGCAAGGGCAAACATGCCTGGCATTCTTCGTTAATGCACTAGCAGCGATAAACCCTTTGCTTGCTTGGCTGCTAATTTCCAAAAGACATATTGTGAAAGGAATTCTGAGTTGATGGCTGCAGAGAAAGGTGACATCTACCCCCAGTCAAACTACCCTAAGCCTCAAGGAAGAAGAGACGGTAGCCAGAGGTGCCCAGACCTTCCCAGAAGGCCAGAAAAGATGCTCACAGGGCAGAAATCCAGCAGCACCAGCCCAGAGCAAAATCAGTGAACCAACACTTTGTCAGGGCAAAGGTTAGCACAGCTTCTGCACTGTGTGTGCAAGGTCTACACTCTTCACCATGGGGAAACAGAGCCCCTGATGTGGGCAAGAATACCGAACAGCTGGAAGGGTTCTGGGACTCTGGTGTATGAGCGTGTGGTCTCCACTAGCTTCCAAACATCTGCCAGGAACCTTAGGAATTGTTTGTTTCAGTCCTCACAGTAAGCGCCATAGTAGGTCCCATTGTGTCCATTTTATAGACGAAGACATCAAGATTCAGAAAGTTAAGAGGACTCACTTGAGATCACAAGTCTATGCCCCCTCATCCTGCAACTTCTCGTAGTCCGAGAAGAAAACAGTTGGCTCATCAGAGGCAAAGTTCAGAGGGAAAGACATCAGTCAGTGTTTCCCAAGGCAGACTCCAGTCTCCCGTCTGAAGCCCAGCAGTAGGTATACCGTAGGCTCCTGCCACCTCACCTCCTTGCTGTAGGGGATCTCAATGGAAAACAGTATCTCCTCTGGACTCAACAGCGTCCTCCTGTAGCCAGGGAAGAAGGTATGGTCCATTCGAACAGTTCTCCTGGTACCTGTTTGGAGACAGAATGAAAGGGGCCAAGGTGAGTGTCCGGCTGGGGGCCCCTAGGGCACAGAGGATAGCCCAACAGTCGGCTCAGTGCTTCCCCTGCTCTCTGATTCCCACTGGCAGAAGGAGTGGCTGGTATAGTCAAGGCCAGGACTTCCATCTGAAGTCTTTGAGCACTGGATTGAATATCTGACAACCAGCCCAAACTTGCAGCATTTGTCAGGGTGTGTTATATATATTCCTGCCTATCGCAGCCAATTTCAAGTAGCCAATGTGGCATCATTGGCTTGGGGATGGGGTAGCAAAGAGTTAACAAGGCAGCCTGGATGCCATCCTCTGTGAGGCTCTTGACTGGCATCTAATAACGTGGATTTTGGAAGAAGTCTCATCATTCTGTGATTAGCATGAGTCACTGTGCCTAAACAGCAGTTTCTGCTGAGCACCTCCTTTCCTTCTGGGATCCTGAATTTTGGTGCAAGCTAAGCAGTGTTGCCTAAGTGATCAGAAGTCAAGAACTCTGGGCTCTGAGTCTCTACTATGAGACTCTCCGAAGAGAAAACTTCACAGGAATCATCACACTCCTTTCTGGGGGAGTTAAGCATGTTCAGGGTGTCTCCCGAGGAGAGGACGCTGGAAGCTTGTGCCTGGTGTCTTTCACTACCTTTCCTTTTGCTGATTTGACTTTGTATCCTTCTTAAGGAACCAACTTAGGCCAGGACTGAAAATTGTTAGAGGTGGAGTGGTCTTCAGGACCCACTACAAGGCAGAGATGCTCAAGAGCTGACCACTGTAGAGTACTTTGAACACACAGATAACGAGAGGTGTAAATAACCTCGAGGGCATAGAATATGGTGACATGAAGTAAAATAGCCAGTAGGTAATGAATTTTGAGTATTTACTATCGTAGTCTTTAAAGTAATTATTGTATGGTATGTAATTTACTTTTTGATAATGACCATATTTAACAAACGGCTCACAGATTCCTTGTAATCCAACCATCAGCTATGGTAGGCTAGAGTTTTCAGCTCCAACCACCCCCAAACACACTCCACCAAGGTAAATGCAATGATTAATGTTGATTGTCACTTTGATTGGACTGTGAGGGCGCTAACTACATCAAGTAGATTAATCCAGTGATGACTCTATCAGCTGAATGAGATTATTTATTAGCTGAGACATAACGGAGGAAGCAGGTTACTTGAGGTATGGCTTTGTCTATGGTCCTTTCCTCTCTGGGTCTTTGGCATCTCTACTTTTTGAGGGTAAGAAGCTTTCACCCACTGTGATGTTTCTGGTTTGGAGGCAGCTTACCATGGACTGAACCTTCTGAAACCCTGAGACATCTTAAGCCTCTCCTCCTTTAAATTGTCTATGTTAGATATCTTGTCCCAAGAATGGAAAGTTGATTAATATAATAAGCCATTCAGAAGACAGATCCTGCTATGAATTCTCTATAAAGAAAAGTTTCATCCCTCCTGGATGCATCCTCCCTGCAATCTTCATAAATCTAAACCTTAAGACAGCAGATCACTGAATTTAGGACTCTCTTTCTCCAGAAAATTACCCATCTAATGAGCATTTCTCCACAAAGCCCCTATTTCCAGACCTTTGCTTTAGACAACCCACCTTTTGACACAAGGGTCAGCTTGGCTCCACTGGCCATAAACACAGGGTTGAGGTCAGAGATAGGGCTGGCGTTGATGATGTTCCCTCCAATGGACTAGGACAAGCAAAGATTATGAGTTAGACCCCACCCAGGACCCACACAGTCACACCTGCCCATCGGACAGGTGGGTGACAGCTGCTGCAGGGAGCACCTGAGTGCCCACACCTGCCCTAGACACTGGAAGCATAGCAAGGACATGGGTCTTTAGAAAATGTGACAGTGTGGGTCCTAGCTCAGAAAATCACGAGTCAGTAAACTAAGGCAAGCCTTTTAAATTTTTGTCTCTCCCAACCTTTCTGAAAGGACCAAGTGGTTTATCACAGAAGTTTAGGGCATAAATAAAATAAAGAAGATAACAATCACAGGAAAAAGGAGGAAGTCTTAAGAAAGAATAGTTCGCCTTCTCTGGATCTGAACTTCCTGGAAACTAGACAAGAAATGGAAGGAGAATCAGATAGAGGTTTTGCATTACTGGAAATGAGAAGGAAAAGCAGTGTCCTAGAAACAGGCTTCACAGAACCAGGGAACACAGCATTGCCTTCCGGGTTTGTGTCTCCTTGTCAACAATCAGGAGGAAACAGTACTTGGGCAGGGTCTGGGGGCTAGGAGTGAGCTCTCTCATTTTGTTCTATTCTGTTTTAAATTTTAAAACAATGATCACAAAAGGGAAAAAAGTAGCAGAAGGGATAGGTTGTCTTCCAACACCAAAACACCATCAACTGTTGTAAACCCCAAATGGAGCAGAGAGTATGCAAATCCCTCTGTTTTCAAACTGAAAATTTTGGGGTTGGTCTAAGCCTGATGGAATAAGTCTAAACTGATTGAACAGTCAACAACCAAACCCTTCTTTCGGGAAGATTGAGGCAGGCAGGTGCAACTTCCCAACCTCAGAATTAAAGACCGAGATACTTCTTAGATTGGCCCTCAGGCTACCTCCATCAGAAGCACTCAGGATGTTTGTTAAATACCTGATCCCTGGACTCACCTCACATTCACTGGTGAGAATCTTGCAGGGTGGGTCCCAGACTTGCATTTTAGCAAGAACCCCAGACAAATCTAAGCACTAAAGTTTGGGGCCCACTAGTCAAAGCAAGAGGGAGTCTTTGGTTTGGTCCCTGCTTTCTGATAAAGGGCCCATCCCCTGGGACCCGCTTAATCTGAGTGAGGCCTCACCGCCACAGACTTGATCTGCTTCCCAGCAAACCAGCGCAGCTGCTCCAGGACCCCTTTGAAAACCTCTGTTTTATGATCAGGAAGCTCAGCAATCGCATCATGCAGGACCTTCTCCATGCAGCTCAGGGAACAAGCCGCTCCAAAGGTGATGCCTGGGAACACATGCTCAGAGTAACAGCCATCCTTTCTACAGCTTGGAAAACATTTTCAAAGACAGCTCCTGCAAAGCCTCAGCAAGGCTAAACCAGGACTTCCACAGTCAGATAGATAAGGAAATTAGGACCCAGAGAGGTTAAAGGACTTAACCAACAGCACATAATTAACAGCAGCCAGGACTCAATCCCAGGTCACCGGATTCTATAATCCATACTCTTTCCTCTAAACAAGCATAGCATGAAGATCTCTATAGATGTGGTCCTGGCACTTTTTTTAAATTAAAAAAAGCACCAAGCAGGGCTGGGGATTTAGCTCAGCGGCATAAGCACCTGCCTTGCAAGCAGGCGGTCGTGAGTTCGATCCCGGGTACCGACAGAAATGAAAAAGACAAAAAAAAAAGCACCAAGCACTATGCATTCCCACTTCCCCACTAACAAGCGATTCTAACGTAGTCAGCACTGAAGCTGACTATTGAAATCCCCAGCCTTATGCCTGCAGGCTTCCATGATGGATACTGGATGAAAGAAAGCCAGTGAGGGCAGCCCCCTCCCCAGTCACCTCTCTCTGTTTGCAAGGTAAGCTCCGGGGGCAGCAGGTGACAGCCAAAGCAGGCTGCTCTGGCACCTGATCCCCAAAGAGGCCCACTCTCAGCATCACTGTTCCTCTATGGGCTCAGGCAAACCCTCCTTACCATCGGGCCCATGTTCCACTGAAGTCAGCTCGCAGATCCAGGTTGGGCAGACAATCATAGGATACAGCATGTTCTTAAACTTCATCTCAATGCCTGGAGAGAGATGAGAAGCTGAAGTTAGACCTTGGTGGTTTCCCTGTCCTTCCACACAGGTCCCATAACGTTTTTATAATCGCAGCATAATCCTAGGGCAGCGGTGGCAAATCTATGGCATGTGTTACATAATGGCCTAATTGTATCATTGAAAGGTCCGAAACGTTTGCCGTCACTGTCCTGGGGGTCTAGGGACTAGCAAACACTGTGGACAAGGGAGGAGGTCAACAACAAAGCTATGCCTTTACACCTCAAAAAAAAATGAAATAAAGTCACAAGACCTATCTAAATTCAAATAAAACAAACTCGAATTCCTTGTGATATGTGTACATGTGTTTATCTATGTATGTGTAAGAACACTGAAAAACACGGTATATTAGGAATTCTTTGAAGCATTTTGCCTATTTTAATTCATTGAATCCTCCAACAACCTTTTAGATACTGTAGTTTTCTCTGTTTAAATGAAGAAACAGGCACAGAAAAGTAACATTTTTGTGCAAGTTACAGCTAAATATAAGAACAGCTAAGAATAGAAACATTTCAGTACTTGAGTTCTTGTTATTGTTAGGGTGTAATAATAATAACATGAAAGTCAGAAATTAAACTGAAAAAGGAAAATGAAAAAAAAAAACCTTCAAATACACCTTCCAGTTGCCAGTTTCTGTCTGGATTTTTAAAGGTTCACAGCTTTGTGGGACTGTGCTTCTGTGTCACTTCTGTCCTCACAGAAGACAAGTTAGAATCCCAAATACAGATGTACCTTTGTTCCTTAGACCCAGTTGGCACTATGCCTTTCCCAGTCCTGCCACTTGGCTGTAGGTGAGAAAGGTTAAAGAAGAAATGCCAGCCAGGGTGGTGGCACACACTTGTAATCCAAGGACTCTGGGGGACAGAGGCAAGAGGATCAAAAATCTGAGCTCAGCCCAGAAAACTTAGCAATTTAGCAAGATTTTATCTGAAGAAAAAGCAAATGAGGTTGGTATATAGTTAAATTCAAAACCCCTGCGTTCAATCCTGGTGCCAGAGAAAGAACAGAAAGGGAAGAGAAGGAGGAGAAATATGTGAGCCAAGCTCCATTCCCCAACCTGACTCCACAGCTGCCACCGAGGACTCCTGAAGGGAGGCCTGGCACCCAGGAGCCTGGCTTGTGTGGGTGACCGACCACTCCCAGGACACAGGAGGCAGGATGAGGTATCAGTGAGTCTTGTCTTGGGATGCCACCTTCCCCAACACCCTGTGTTGGTGGTGGGTGCAAGTGCAGGTATGAGGAGGAAGGAGAGGAGAATATGGACCCTTCCTCATCTCAAGCAATTATTTAACGTCTTTGTGAATTCGTGCATCTTGGCATCCAGGGCGGTGTCTGGCTCATGGTAGGAACATGTTGAATGTCAGGATCTCCTACGATCTTTCCAGCCACCTTAAATCATCCTGTTCCCAGACCACAGGGCTATGACCACGCAAGGAAAGGGCCTTAGGGCCATAATGACACGTGTGAAGGCAGGTGGTGCAGACAGCTCCCCAATGCCCTGAGTCTGGCTAACTACAGTTATCAGGCTCACTTCATTGCAGCATGACTCACAGCTACCCTGTCAGCTCAGCGTGTTGCGCTGTTGGGGCTCCATACCCCAGGGGAGGACACAGGCCCAGGTGGCTCAAACACATCTCACTTGGACCATCTCTTCTCCTTTATCTCGTAGCGCTGTCACTCAAAGAAAGGGCAACAGGAGGCAAAAGCATGTCATTCCAGCCCCTTTAGCATCTATCAGACTCTGGTCTTTGCACTTTGCCTGCGCTCACATCTTTCCTCTTGTCTAGGAAGCCTCAAAGGAAGGGGCTGTGTTCCTCCCCAGAGACCCTGGCTCCTAGCTGTCACTCTGTAGATATTTAGGGGAAAAAGTCACAAGCATCCAACGATCTCATTTTAATATTCATAGCTACCCTGTGAGGAGTTATTACCCCCATACAAGTAATGGGAAAATGAGAGAAAAAGAGACAAGAAAAGCTATTTGAGGGTGGCCAGCCAGTGCAGGGCTGGACCAGGTTTGGGTGGTTCTATGCCAGTCTTGGGCATTCCCAGGGCAGTCAGTGAGGTAGAGTGGGATTCACATAATATCACGGGGAGGTAGGGACAGCCCAGAAAAGCCCAGAAATACACCTTGGCCTTAATGGAATCCACAGAGCCACCTCTGACCCTTACCAATCTCCGTGTTCCCCACCACCAGCTTGGCATCAGGATACTGAGCCTTGAGGTCCAGCAGCTCCTGCAGGGTTGAGGCCTGGATCCACGTCACACGCTCCCCTTGGAAACGCAGCTGCTTCCGAGGAGCGTCTTTCAGTCTCTGCAAAGTGTAGGTCACATATTGTGCTGCCTCCTTCCTCCTACCACCATTTCCCTGGTAAATTGCTCTAAGTCTGTCTGCATTCAGACAGACTTTTAATACTGAATTCAGAAAGAAGATAATTATGGCGGGAGAAGTGAGAGTAACTAATACATTCTAAGAAATTACTGGAGCTATTAAACAGTCATCCCACTTAGTGTCAAGAATCCACCAATGAACTATGTGAGCTTCATTTTCACAGGTTAAATTTAAAAAAATTTAAAAATCCGAGAGATCAAGGAAATTATGGGGCCTGCTTTGAGGGAGCCCCAAACCAAGGTGGTGTGAAGCCCAGGTTCCGTGCAGTGCTCCACATTGCCTCCAGGGGGTGCAGTGGAGAAGGGAGAAGGAAGAAGCCTCAAAGCAAAGGAGGGCTGAATCCAGTGTGCACAGGGTGAAACCGGGCTTGCAAAAGAAATCTGCAAAATTTAAGTTTTCACAATCCAAAGGAAAATACGTTGGTGACCTACAGCAAAGCAGTTCTCCCTGGCCTGTTGAACCTACAAGGCCACACCCATGAGGTCTATATAGTTGAGAAATGGACTCCTGAAATTTGTAAATATTAGAGCGAATGTAACAAAGTGGTACAAGCAGGTGTCTTTAAAGCTATGAACCATGTCACCGAATAAGGCTCTGTTTGTTTTTAAATAAACAGACTGCTTATGAAGGGGAGGACAGATGGCTTGGTGGACTTTAACAAGTTATAATAGTTAGAGACCCTTGCTATTGATACCTAGCACACCAGGAAGACCTAGTCATTCTCCTCCTGGGGCTTATAATCTAGGAAGGAGCACAGACATGTAATTAGTAACTATAAGTGTGACATGTGTGAGAAGCATAAAGCATGGATCCCAGAGGGAAAGGAAGGAAAGAAAGGAAATTCAGGCTGAAGCTTAAGATTATGGAGGGTGCAAAGTTTCAGTGGGTGTGAAAATACAACAGTTCCCAAGGACTGACTGCACAAAGATTTGACCGGACTTCTTCCTAAGGCATCACCTACCAGCAACTCCGGGGGAAAGATGGGCTCCTGCGAGGGATCCAGGGGTGTGAAGTCCTCTGGTTTGAATAAAGACTGTGAGAGGGTGAGCTACAGGGAGACAGAACAGTAAGTGTACAGCATCTGCACCTTTCGCACGCCCAGTGGGACGGATGCAGCCCTTTCCCCAGGTGAGCCGATGGCCAGCCCTCAGCTGGCGAGTGGAAGGCAGGTAACCCCTGGGGAGCAGGGACAAGGAGGTCTTGCTGGAGGCCCGAGGCTACTTTTGTGCACCTTCAACTCGCCATTGTCAACCCTTACCATAGTGGCTCCCTCTTCCAGCCACCACTGCTAGAGATATGTGGTGCCTCCTCTGAATTTAAGGTCTTCCCCCAGCCTTCTAGGGGAGATGGACTCACTTACTGTTTCATCTTTCTTCTGGTTCATGCAGCAATTTGGGTTGTCCCTGTTTCCTCCACAGCATCCACCATTCTGGAAAGATGACAAGTATTCACACAAGGATAGGAGCAGAGTCTTCCTTCACAGAACCTAAGGCACCTTGATGACTGGCGTGTAGTACGCTCCAGCTCTGATATTCAGTCCAGCAGTGACAGAAGGGAAAGAGGACTCCTTCCCATCTCATGGCCCTCCCTGCAGAGTGCTGTGGCCTATGCTACAGTCATACTTGGTTGGCCATTGAAAATTAAATATCTCATGGGTACACACAAAGCAATGGGGAAACTTACTTTTAAAAACATTTCTCCATGAAACTCAGGTCCTACTTTATTAAAATATACCTTTATGCTCATTTTTCCTCTTCAGTACTGCTTTTTAGGAAACTCCCAGGGCAGAAATTGTGATCAGTTCTCTCAGCACTCAAGAGGCTCTGCCTCTAGATCAGCAAAGTTCTACGGGGCCGGAGGGGGTGTTTCCCAGGCTGGGCTCTCTGTGGTACTCCACCAAGAATATCTGAGACCAGTTCTGGTCCCAAAGATGTGTCTGGTCAATATGCCCAGGGACCTCCCCACTGCTGGCTGGAAAGCTGACCACTTCGCTCCTCACTGTGGACCTGCTCTGGAGGAAGCGGATGGGTCAGATCAGCCATCACCTATTGGGAAGGACTTGCCCAAGACCTCTCGGGATGCAGTGGCTGCACAAAAATCAAATATGAATCATTGCTTCCCAGAACTGAAGTCTCACAGGGAGAAGGATGTTCACCTGGCCAATCATCCCCAGGGAGGCAGAAAGCATAGCCAGGTTTGAGGAGATTCTCCAGAATCAAGGAGTTGTACCAAGGTGCAAAAGTGGGAAAAACACATGGGAAAAACAAATGGATAACCATTTCCTAAAGAAACAGGTTAGAAGCAGCACACAAGTCACAGAAGACACCATTGTATGCTGGCATTTGACAAAAGATGTGTCACAATGCACTATCTTTCCCAAGAAACCTCTCAGAGAGCCACGGAGGGTGGAGGTGTGTCCCTTGAGAACCGGAAAGCACAGCCAGGAAATGACATGGGAGCAACACACACACACACACACACACACACACACGTACACTGCCTACACGCATAGCTCTGTTTATAGAACCTCTCGAATTTACGGTTTGGCCACCAGATGCCAGACCTGCTTTGTGTACTTGGGACTGCCACATTGCCATCCTGCCCTCTAATTTAGATTAAAAGAGAAGGAGGAAGTGGGGGTTTTAGTGCCTCTTTTCTTTCTTCCCAGAGAAAGACAAGGGCAGTGGAAATCCCTTAGGCCTACAGAAGCGAGAGGCACCTGTGCACAGTGAGCTTCAGCCTCCATCCCTTGACCTTCTTGAAGAAGGCCATAGTTCAGTATTTCATACAAATGCATTTTCCAGAAAAAGTGTCATCATATTATCACCTTGTTCCTTGATAATTCATTGGTATATTTGTGACCTGCAATTTAAAAGGACCTTGGGAACAGTGTTGTTGTTATGATGCAGTTATACACCACTGTTCCCAAGGTCCTTTTAAATTGCAGCCTGCTGATTCCTGTCTCTTACCTCTCATGATTTTCACTTTACAGCAAGTACTTTATAGGAAGTCGGCTCAGAGTGCTGGGCTTGAGCCTTTCAGTTTTGTTTTTTAAAATCAACTTTTTTCAGAATCATTTTAGGTTGACACCAAATTTAGTGGAAGGTACAAAGAATTCCAAAATAACTTCTGTCCCCTCAACATATCCCACCTCCATCAACATCTATACCAAAGTGACACCTTTGTGCAGCTGACTATTATCATTCAAAACCCATAGATTACATTGGGGTGCACGCTAAGAGGTTTGACGCGTGTGTGATTCCACGTACCCACCACCATTGTATCATACAGAATAACCTTACACTGCTCTGAAAATCCTCTGGTCTCCGCCCATTCATTCCCCACCCGCCCCTGGTAACTGCTATACTATTTCTTCAGTTTTGTCTTTCTAGAATGTCATACAATTGCTATCACAACACGTTTAACCTTTGCAGATTGGCTCTTGTCAGTCAGTAACATTTTAGAATTTAAGATTTTCCATATCTTTTCAGAGTCTAACAACATTTTTAGTGCTGAAAAAGGTTCCATTTTCTGAATGTATCACCGCTTCTTTATCCATTCCCCTACTGACGAGTGCCTTGGTAACTTCCAAGTTTTGACAATTAGGAATAAAGCCTCTAGTAGCATCCCTGTGCAGGTCTTTTTGTGGATGTAAATTTGAAGCTTCTTTGGGTAAACACGGAGAGCAGGTGCTGGATTGTATAGTAAGACTATGTTTATTTTATAAGAAAATGTCAACTTGTTTTTCCAGCAATGGATGAGTTCTTGCTCCATATCCTTACTGGAATTTAGGGGTATTAGAACGTTGGATCTGGCCTTTCTAATAGGAATGTAGGGGTCTTAATTTCCTAATGATGATATTGAACTCTTCCTGTGTTCACTTTCCATCCATATATATCTGCTTTGGTGAGAAATGTATTTAGATATTTTGCCCACATAAGTTGCTAAAGTCAGCATATGCCCATTTTTGAGTTTTTAATTAGTGTTTTTTAAAATTTGTGAATATTTTATATGAGATATGAGGTGTATCCTTTGCAAATATTTCACACCAGACTGGCTTCTCTTTTCATTCTCTTGACATTGTCTTTTGCAGAACAAAAATTTTTAATCTTAATGAAGACAAATTTTTCAATGATTTCTTTAATGGATCATGCCTTTGACATTCTATCTAAAGACCTCATAGTTATACCCCAGATCATCTAGGTTTTTCTCTTATGTGATCTTCAAAGAGTCATACAATTTTGTTTTACATTTAGTCTTATGATTCAATTTGAGTGAATTTTTGATAAGGGTTTAAATTCCTAGCACATCAGTTATATTTTTCTTTACAGAGTTAGTACTTCCCTAAAGTTTTCAATATAAATTGAAAACAAATCCAAGTTTCAAATACAGTGACTGCCGCTTCACAAACAGTACAAATACCTTCTTTTTCCTTTTAATATTGCTGTCATGAATTTTACTTACACACTTAGCCAAATGTATTATTGCTAATATTCTCAACCAACTGTTATCTGTAGAACAATTAAGGTTTTTAATTAACTTTACTTACTTATTTACTGCCCAATACTTTTCCTTTCTTTGTGTAGATCTGAATTTCTGACCTGTACCACTTTCCATCTCTCTGGAATTTCCCTGAATGTTTCTTGTAAGGAAGTCCATGGGCAAAAGATTTCTTCAAGTTTTATCTGGAGAGATCTTTATCTCTCCTTCACTTTGAAGACCCATTTCATCGCATACAGAATTCCAAATATCTAGCATGCTCTCTCTGTCTCTCTGTCTCTCTGTGTCTGTCTTGATGTCTCTGTTTCTTGTCTCTCTCTCTCTGTCTGTCTCTGTCTCTGTTTCTCTGTATCTGTCTCTCTCTCTGTCTCTCTCTGTGTCTCTGTCTCTGTCTCTGCCTCTCTCTCTGTCTCTCTGTTTCTCTCTCTCTGTCTCTCTCTCTCTGTGTCTCTGTCTCTGTCTCTCTCTCTGTCTCTCTCTTTCTCTCTCTCTCTCCCTCTCTGTGTCTCTGTCTGTCTGTCTGTCTCTCTGTCTCTCTCTTGCATATTTCACTCCATTCTTGTCTTGCCCGCATGGCTTCTGAGAAGTCATATGCTACTCTTATCTTTGCTCTTTTATAGATAAGTCTGGAATTTTTTTACAGAGATTCAAGAAGTTTTATTAGAGACAGAGATACAGAACACACTCAAGAGCAGAGTGCAGGTGCTCAGAGAAATGAGGCTCCTCCTCTGGTTTCTCTCAGGAGTTTTTTATTTGCCTTTAAGTTTCAATATAATATGCCTTGAAGTAGTGGAGCAGTTTTGTTTGTTTTTACATTTGTGGTTACTTTCGGGATTTGTTATTGTCGAGGCTTTGGTTTGGTCTGGAGGTTTTTATTCTGGGATCTGTGGTGCTTGGTGTTCTCTGAACTTCATTGTTAGGTGGTTTGGAGTTTGGCCTTATTTTTGAGACATTTTAATTTGCTACTGCGTCGGATATTGCTTCTATTCCTTTCTTGGGTTTCTGGTTTCATTACACGCACGCTGCACCTTTGTACTTACCCCTCTATTTTTAGATTGGGGAAGGCTCACTTTCTTCCTTTTGATTTTAAAAGTTTGCATTGTCATATCCTCTCACTCAGAGAGGCTTTCCTCATCCACATCCAGTTTACTAATGATCCTATCAAAGGCTACTTGCATTTTGTTACAATGTTTGTATCTCCAGCATTTCTTCACGATTCTTTACTAGAATTTCTATCTCTCTTATTCATCTGTTCTTGAAATGTTGCCTACCTTTTCCATTAAAACCTTTAGCACATTGATCACTGTCTTTTTAAAGAAAAATCCTGACTTGGTCATTCCGAGATCCCCACCATACTGACACAAGTTCTGCAGTCTGTTCAGTCTCTGCAAACAGTGTTGACTTTCAGTGTACATGGTAATGTTTTGTTGGAAGGCCCACATGTACTGGGTAAAAGGACCCACTGTGAGCAGGGCTTTTGTAGTGTATTGGTAAGGTATGAGGGAAAAGTACCTTACAGCCCTAAAATTAGGTCTCAAGCGTTTGGTGAGGCTGAATTGTAAGCCTCCCAGGTGGCTCCTGGGTTTTATTCCCCTTCCTTAGGTGGGTCAGAGTAGCTGGAGGAAGGTAAGGTTGTGAATTTCTCTTCATGCAGGCAGGTTGAGCTCTGAAGTAACCTCAGTTTAGACTCTTCTAAACTAATTTCTTCTGGAGATGGGGCTTGTCAAGAAGAACTGAGCATCCTAGCATATTTCAAAATGGCTCCAGGCATATTTCAAATGGTTCAGAACACTGGCCTCCTACGGCCGCGTCCTCCAGGGTCTGTGTCTCTCATGCTTGTTCACACTAAGCCTCCAGCAGTTACTCAACTACTGCTCAGATCCTCCTAGTCTAGTAAAGATTCCCAAGGATCCTGTATGTCTCTGCTCCAGTGTGTCATGATTGTCTGCCTAATCTCCCTAATTTGAGGAGCACAGTTGGTCCTATGACCTCACCCCTTTGATGGATCTAAAAAGGTTATTCAGATTGTTACTTGTTTTAAGAACAGAATGAGGACTTCTAAGCCTCTAACATACCACCCGAAACTAAAATAAGTGATTGTGTTTGTTTTTAGGATTCTTTCACTTCCTTCCTTGATGCCAAAGTGAACATCACCAGGCTTGCTGTGAGTGTGTGCTTAACTCTAGCAGGCTTTTCTCACTCTTCTCTAGTGTGTGTGCTGTATTCAGGAAAACTGGCTGACCAAGTGTCTAGAGCTGCATGCAAAATCCGAGCAGATTGGCTCTGAACAAAGGTCTGGGGGGGGGGGCTCTGATGAGTAACATGAAAGAGATTCTGCACATCTTTGGTGCTCCAGGCCACTTGGTTTTATCTGATATACTTAAATGCCCTTCTCATTGGAGACCTACAAGAACTGGTTAGATTGCATGCCTTTGAACAGGCTTCCGTGATATAAATAGAGAAGCAAGATTAATAACCCCTACTTCCTAGGGCAGACCTGAGCAATTAATGAACATCATACAGTGGACAAAAGAGAAATGTGTCAGTGTCAAAATTTATAGCCCCACTTATGAAATACTTCAGATGAGCCTGGTATTATCCTAAAGGCTTTGCAAGAAGTATTAATCTTTACAAGTATTATAAGGCACATATTGTAATTCCCGTTTTAGGAACAAGACAATTTGCCCAGGGTCATGTATCAATTAAGTAACAGAGAGGATTTGAACTCAGGTCAACAGACTGCAAATCTGTGATTTGGATCATTTTTCCTGTTTCATCACCAACAGCATTCTTCAGGGCGTGAAAATGTACACCCTTATAAGGCCCCATCTCCTCCTCCACCCACACTCTCTTGGCGTACATGAACACAACCCTCCTTTCATGTCATACCAACGCACACATGTCTGTAGAGTTACATTACCCGAGTGTCTGGGTCTCCTGGAACCCAAATCAAATTGAGATGAGGAAGTCTGGCTGGAGTCAGGACTACCTTAGCCTAATTGAGGAATCTGATAAAAGCTGAAAAAGAAACCAGCCCTCTGTCCTCCTTGCCAGATGGCAGGTGTGTAACTGTGTTTATGTAATCAGTGCCCACAGGCACAGCTGTGGTTTCTTATGCGGAGTTCCAGGAAGACAGCAGGGGTTCCCAAACTGTCTGGAGATCTAATTATCAGCTTCATAAGCTCTGCAGAGTGCTGACTGCAGAGAGCAGACTGGAGAGAAAGGGGGAGGGGTGTAAGCAAAGAGCCCAGCTAAGTGCTGTTAAAATGGCATCTTCAGTACCTGCACTGCACTAATCCTGCCAGTGCTCAAGGAAAAGTGCCACTGGAGAAAACTGACACTTACAGCAGCTCACCTGTTCCAGGAAGCAGGGCTCTAGGCTTTCAGCAGCAAGAAAGCCCATCTACGGTAGGAATAACAGAACTCACACCTGTGCTGCCCGACCCAGGTGGGAATACCCAGTAACCAACCATGTCATCTTTCTTCAGAGGCCCTTGCCATCCTTCTGAACTGTGTCCCCTGAGTGTGGCAGCTTTAGGAGCTGGGCCACCGCTGTCCCAGGGGTCCACTCACCTGGGAAAAGGTCCGGAAGCCCTGGAGAATGGGTCTGTAGCCTGTACAGCGGCACAGGTTTCCTGGCAGCCAAGGGAAAAGTAGCAAAGTCAGTGGGGGCCCTAGTGGGGAGGGTCTTGTCCCTGTCAGCTTTTCCTTTACTAGACACCTTGTTTTCTCCACCTGAAAGGCCCTCTTCCTCTCATATTTCTGGCTTCCAAATGCCCATCATAACTTCCTCTGGGAAGCCTCCTGAGAATGTCCAGACTGAGCCAGGCCCCTTCACATGCTCCCAGGGTGCCTGGTTAGAACTTTATCAGTGAATTTAGTTAAACTGCATTGCAAGCTCGCTTCTTATTTGGACTGTGAGCCCCTTCAAAGGAAAGACTTTTTCATCCTCTGTCCCTGTACCTCATGTAATGGTTGGCATAGAGGAAGAGTCGAAATAATAGACCAATTATTGGACAAATGATAGAAATGGTGAATGGGTGGGTAGTCTTATCTGTTTGGTTCAGAGGGACAGACACATCATCCAGGAGACAGATCAAGAAGCTAGCCCCTGTCCACGGCTCAGGGTCCTGGTGCTTTTCTCATGTGCAGGCTGTTCTGTGGAGACACCTATTCCAGGGGAAGCTGAGAGGGAGAAGCCATATCACCAGGCTCTATACAGTTTCCCAAACGCCAACTATCAATGCCAGTGCTAAGGGAGGGCAGAAAAACACCACAGGAAACAGCTGCCCTCAGGAGCTCTCTAAGACAGCCAAATATTCTTCAAACTAAGAGAAACACTTTCTAGATCTTAGCCACCCTGAACTTTTCCTCCAAAGAGCTATTCCTCGCTTTACTAGCCCACATCTAGGGATCACGCTGACCCTGTTCTGACCTCTCAGGGGCCCATCTGTCCACCATCCACTTCTGTGGCCATGTCTGAAGGCCCATACCTTGGAAGGCATCCTCGATCTCCTCGATGGTGGGCGTGGGCTGGTTCCTGAGCAGAGTGTACATGCTCATGACGATGCCAGGGGTGCAGAACCCACACTGGGAGCCATGGCTTTTGGCAATTCTTTCCTAAAAAGGACAGGTGACACAGGCATATATGTTAACAGAAGCTTTCCAGCCTTTCCTGCTTCCCTGCAGGACCTATCTGTAGCCACCCACATTGAGAGGCAATGGGAGACCCAGTGAGTTCTTCAACCCTTTGGAGGTTTAGACTCTTCATCTGCGTAGTCAAGACCATCCTACTACTTTGTTCTAAAGACTTGGTGAGATAATTCATGCAATACACCGTTTTGGTACATAATAGGCAGTCAGTCAATATTAGCTATTAATAGGAAAGATTTTCAAGAAACAGTGCCTCTTCTGAGAAGCAGCCTCAGGGAATTTAAGGATTTACCCAAGATCTCACAAATAAATGGAAGAGCTGTGTTAGTCTCCTTTCATCTCATTACCCAGCCTCAACCAGCATTCTTTTAAGAACCAACAGAGCACATCTGAGGCCAAGCAAGAGTCCTACTGTGCTCCTGCATTTGGAAGTAAAGGCAACACTGGGGGCTTGGGACAGATATAAGAACAGGGAAATGTGTGCAAGTGAATTTGTTCTGTGCTTTGAACGTCATAGAATTCCAGTTCCAAGCCAGAAGATTTTCAGTGTAAAGAAATTGTCTTCATTGATGTGACATTTCCTCTTTCTTTCTTTCTTTCTTTCTTTTCTTCCTTCTTTCTGTGTCGTGGGTACTCAGGGGGTAGTCAGGGGTTTCAAGAAAAACAATTAAGTACACACAGGACACAGAATTTACAATATTATGATATTTATAAGTTTATGATGGTCACCCAGAGTTAAATACAAGAAAGTGCAGAAATCTGTCCACAGCACTAAAGACAGAAAATCCAGCTGAGGATTTTCTGCTACAACAGTGTGCTGTATGAATCCAGCTGAAGATCTAGACCCCACGATAATGACTCATGCAAGTCTATTTCATGGATCAGCACTGGGAAAGCCCCAAGGTCAGCAGTGGAAACTAGAAAGTCTTTGTCAACGGGATGAATCATCTATGCCAGGATACACTATAAGGTCCTCAAAATAAGGACCAGCTCTTTTCCAAAAAGTACAACAGCCATCCTCAGAAACAGTGAGGCCCCAAGCTCCTCCAATGATGAGAACAGCTGTGTACATATCAGGAAGTCAGTGTGACAAACCTCCTGGAGAGTAAACAGCACACATCTTCCTCTCTGGAGCCAGGAAGTGATGTTCAACATAAGGACCAGAGCTTCCCCAATGTGAACCACAGCCACTCTTAGCAACAAGGTCTCAAGTTCCTTTGGATTATAATGGCCAAATTCATATCAGGGAAGCCAGCCATGACAAGCTCCTCCAGGAGAACCAACAGCTCCAGACAACTGCAACACTTTGGAGAATCCACAACACTAACATCTTTCCTCTCTAAATATCTTGTTTATGCTGGCAGCCTTCCCCTGGTGGGCCACCTACACTCATACTACGGTGATTCAGTTCAACTGGTGTTAAGGTGACCATCAGTTTTTAATCCATAACAAGTTCATATGTTAAGTAAAATTTTCAAAATAATCCCACTACCTTGTATCTAATATTCACTGATTAGCCGATGTAAAAACACTGGGAACAGAGCAGCAAAGGCAAGACAAAAAAGACCCCACAAAGTTCACATTCTAGCTAGACAAGTACTGCCAGAAACAAAACAAGTAAGCAAACCAAGAAATTCCAGGCAGGAATCAGGGCCAGATAGAGAGTTTGTACAGGACAACAGGATGCAGGGTCATTGGCAGCTATCCAGAGCGGTTGGAAAGGTCACTGTGGTTAGAAACTGGGCTTTGGGCGGATGGTTTTGCCATCGACTCAGTTAGCTGAGGCTAGGAAAGGAAGAAGTTGGGGGATGAGACTGTTTTGATAAGTTTCAGGTTAGACATCCACATAATAATGCCAAGTGGGCAGCTGGGAATATAAGTTGAACTTCTGAGAAAAGGTTAAAGCTGAAGATATTAATGTGCCTGCCATTTGAAGGAAGAAGGTACTAAGCCCAGCTGGGAAAAGAGTGAGGATGGAGAAGAAAAAGCCTCAAAGTCAGAGCCCGGCACCCCAGCAGTCAGAGGATGGGCTGGGGGAAGCCATATGCAATGCCGATGTGGGGGTAGGGAGAAAATACTAAAGTGTTATATTCAGAAACTAAAAGAATCAAATAAAGGAACAAGATGTAGAATCCATCTCAATATCTGATTTGGACCAAAACAAATACATGAGAACTAGGAGTCTGCACCACTGCAGAGAGAAAGCTTTAGACTGATTCTATAGATACGAACCTTATGTTCAAACTATCCTTTATTTCTTTTATCCATTTGTTTAAAAAATGACCAGTCCTCATCAGTTTTCTCATACTTCATGCGGGTCATCCAAATTTAGTAATTTCTCCTTTTCCTGTCTACAAAACAAAACTATAAAGGTGAAGCAGTGACATCTCCACCCTGCTCCGACCTTACAGACCAGCCCAAGTGCTTCTCCCGGGGAATAAAGTCAGCTGGCTCAGCTGCAGGCCTGGTTCCATGCTGTCAGAATGGAAGGCATGCTCTCCTGAAGGTTTCCCCTCCGAGGGTCCAGGGAGGAGTGAGGCCTAGGCCCAGCTTGGAACCATCTCCCAACAACCCTTGCTTCTGTTTCCCCAACAAAACAATATCTTCACTTCCCAGAGTCCTCTACTCTCATCTGCTTTTGCTTGATTATCTTGATTCTCTCCACAAAACCCCTCAGGTTACTCCCATCTCTCTCCAAAGGTATTCACCATAGGATTCCATTTTCAGGTGGTCTAATCCTATCAAGGACACAGCCTCATTCCCCATCATCTTATTTAGCTTATTTGCTCACTTAGCCTCCATCTGAACGAGGGTAGAGGCCTGGAAGACCACATTTGTACTACCCAAGAGTGAGAAATGAGGGTGCACCTGGGATTACTACCTAAAGGGAAGGGAATCTATGTTCTTTATTTTTTTTTATCAAGGGACACTGAGAATCTAGAATCTGGGAAGGCTGAGGGTTCCGTAAGCATCACCCGGAACAAAGTGAGGAAACACTCCACCTTCTCCTCCTCCTCCAAGGTTTAGGGCAGCTGAATCACCCTGGCCACCAGATTCAGTTGGCCTCTGTGTTGTCTTGGGGTGATGCAATGCTATGTTTACCCTGGTCACTGGAGGAAGCTCTGGGTTTTTTCTTTTTTTATTTAAAAGGAAAAAGAGAAAAAATAAAACAAAACAAAGCGATGTAAGGGTACAAGTAATATAGAACTACAAAAAAAAAAAACAGTAAGAAATCACCAGTTAATAAATTACACATTATCATCTTAGAGACAGTTGCTCAAGTCACAGTATCAAAGCATACAAAGTGGACACTCAAACAGTGAGACTGCAAACAGTTGTGTTCAATGATCCAACCAAAAACATTAATATGGTCAGCTATTTAACACCCCTAAACACACTTGCAGTTGTATACTTTAGAGCACTTCTTTTCCTCTCTTTTTTACAACACATTTTGGGTTTTATTACTCCTTAGTTCTTATTACTTTTTTTGGAAGAGAATAAAGCCAAATATGGCAAAACAAAGCTGTCAGTCAAAACCAAGGATAGACATAGCACATGATGTAAAAACAGAGTACAAGGTTAACAACAATGGTTACCATAATGCCTCTTGCTTCCTTAAAAAGAATTGTCTATCTGATTAGGTATTATAAAGTTGAAAAAAAACAGTAGAGAACAAGACCAATAAAACCTAAACCTTGTAAACATTACAGTACTTCCAAAGAAGATAATAGTCAAACCAGAATGGGCATCATAGTGAATCTTATTGCCTTCAAAGTAGTTGCCTATACACTCAAATATGATACTATCATACAGAAGGAACAGAGTCTAATCAGTCAAAACAAGATAATGGGAGTAATACAGGACTTCAAATCAAGTTAATAGGAAATCAAAAAAGTTACTATAATATATCCTGCTAAGTTTTTTTTTTATTTTTCCCCTTAATTAAAAAATCATAAAAAATAACTAAATATTTTTTTTAGTGAATGAGGGAGAGATTCAGATAAAAGAGGACATAGCAACATAACAATACAGGTCAAAGCATGACAGTTAAGCTCTGGGTTTAGATGCCTTCTTTTTCCACCTCACAGCATCTAGAAGCAATGGGGGTAAAAGGGCTGGGGCAGTGTCTCCAAGCTCGGGCAAGGAAACTCCACACAGCAACCCAAAGCAAATCTGCGGCTTGGGCATGAGCCTCACTGCAAACTCCCCTGAGCCCAAAGTCACATTCTTTGCTCTACTCACCTGTACGGGATGCAGCCTTGTCTTCGTGCTTCCTATTCCTTCCACAGTGGTCACCGCCATGTGATGCAAGGAGCAGATGGGGGCCAGGCAGGCATTGACAGAGTAGTGGCTAGAACCTCACATTAAGGACATTCCACTGCTCACACAGGTCATCACAGCAGTGCCGGGCCTGCTGGACTGAGTGAGGTTTCGTGTTATCTCTGTCCATGCTACATTAAGTAGTCATCTCTTCCACGGATATCTTTGCCTCTCCATCCAAGACCCTGGACCAAGAACAAGGAGCCCCTCCCTGATGAGGTTGTGCCCTTCCAGGGCCCTGCAGGTACATCCTCAGCCTAAAAGCTGGGATAAGGCAGCCAGAGTCACTTACTGGCTCCCCCTTGCTCAGCTGGACTGCTCAGGCTGAATGGAGAGAATGTATCTGACTGGAGGTGAAGCCCTCTCTCTGTGTTGTCAGAACCTGCTCCCCTTCATTTGCCTCACTTTGTGGGTGAGGGAGAGAAAGCCCCACCTCTCCTATAGGAAAGCAGGAATGTGCACCACTCGCTTGGACAGAGCTTCTACATCCACATCCCTTCTTTAATCATTACTCATTCACATGCGCAGTCTACATCAGTGTCTGGGTCCCAGCCCTACCTCAGCACTCTGCCCAGGGCTCAGGTACTAAGGTGCATAAGACGAAACCTCTGTCCTTTGGCAGCTTTCAATCATTCCATGAAAATAGATGTGGGGGGCGAGTGTAAAGATGCAATTTAAAAATTTTTTGGTGACTTATGTCACAACCAATCAATGAGAGGGCCTTGGGCATCACTGGGTCACAGTTACCTATGCTTGAAAGTACTAGTCCTATGATAGAAAAGAAAATTAGAGGAGCAATTGGGGGTGTCCTGTGAAGAAGGCTGGACTCTATCCCGAGTGCCATCCAAAGCTACTGGAGGATTTTAGGATCTGTGAAAATAACCTGAATTTGAGAGCAGTCATTTTGCCAGCAATTCAGAACACAGAAAACACAGAACGATACATGGTAAGGCTTATCCTGCAAAGCACTGATCCATGGTCCAAGCCTGTTCAAAAGCCTAGAGGCTCATACAAATATGTGTACACATACAACACACCCACACACACACACACACACACACACTGACCCTGCATTCTACCCTAGAGTAGACAATGGGCAAAGGATACACAACCTTGTTCTGGAAATGATCAAACTTGGAAATCATCACCGTGCAAGCTCCACAGCCTCCTTCTCCGCAGCCAAGCTTGGTGCCGCTCAGTCCCACTCGGAGGTCATGAGTTAAGGAACAGGAGTAGGAGAATGGGAAGAGGAAAAGACCTGGGCAGAGCCTCAGGGGTAGACTCATCCATTCCCACACACACAGCCCATTGTCCTCAACTTGGGAGGTACTAGTCCATGTCCTGCTTCCTCAGAGAAGTCTCACTACTCCCCAGGGAGGCAGGGACAGGACCATCTCCTCCTCACGAGTGTGAGACAGAGGAGTCCCGTCCCACAGCACCCAGCAGCAGCATCCTTGGGACTTAAGACCTAGGCTCCCCAGTCCTGGATGTCTTTCTCTCAGTCAAGGTCTCCAGATGTGGTCTTACTGGCCATCTAAGCACCTCACAGACTTAGCGCATGAGTTTAGGGCTTGAACAAAACCATTCTGGCCAGGCAGTGATCTGTTCTGGAATTTACCATGTTTCAGTTTTTCATCCTGAACTTTTCAGGTTGATACAATCCTGGTGATCAAAATTGGAACTGGCACAGAGGTTTTTGAATATCCAGCCCTGTTGTATGCAAATGGAAATTAAAATGAAGATTTTTGAGGTCAGGGACAAGTATTAGGCCCCATTCTTACATATCCTACAAAAAATGAATCTGACACTTCATTTAACCAACAGGCTGCTCTAGAAAATTGTGTGCTCTCCTTCTTAGGGACACACAGCCATGCTTACTGATTTTTTCCAGGCCTGCAGACCTCTAATCCCCCCAGATCTACTGACGATCCCCCCAGACCCCCACCATCTACTGAAGATAGAGGGAATTGAGGTTATTGTCCTTGGGTCACCGACTTCATTTTTATAAATAAAGTTAGAAAGTATTCATGATACAGAAATATAGAACCTTATTCTGGAAAAGCACTTGCTATATCCCTGTCTCTGGCTAACCTTCACAACAATTTGGTTAACAGATGAGGCAGAAAGTAGTATTTCCAGTTAATAAGTAAGACAGTCTGGGACACCAGGCAGTAACATGAGTCACACAAGTGTAGCTCCACCTGCCAGGTCTGGTGCACCTTTCCTTCCCCGTGCCAACTCTTTCTAAGCACAATGGGGTGGCTTTCTATGCCCTAAGTTATTTTTCTTGCTAGACAGGATCTATGCAGACACTGTCAGGGCACAAGAACATGGGTAGTGGCAGTCCAGAGTCTAACAAGTCTTCTGGCCTGGGGAGGCTTTCTAGAAGCCAGGGTAGAAGTCAAGGCTAAAGTCCTCTTTCCCTGGGAGTTCCCACAGATTCTCCCTCAGCCCAGACCTTAGTAAGCTCTGAGGACTTCTCATTTTTGTGCCAACTTTCAGTTTTAGATTTCACTTTAATTTTGACCTTTAAATGAACTGGTTAGTATTAAGGAATTTCAGAAGCTTCTGGGCCTTCAAAACAAAAATGGAATCCATTAGAAAACTAAAGTTGATCTCAACCACCGCTGAGAATCCATGTTTCTTCCCAGACCTCCCAGGAAAATGGACAGGAACTGGGGCTTCCTGCTGCCCCCGATCCTGCCCACTGAATCTTCTGCTGCAAAGTCAGGATTATCTGTGAGCCTCTCGAACTCCTGCACAAAAGCCAACTCCTGAACTCTCTGACAGGTGGACCAGCCAGCATTAAGGTTATGGACTCCAGGCTCACGTCTGTGAGCACTGAACAATCCTTTATTTTCCTGAAATACGTCACTGGAAAGAGCCACCAGCATCCCTCTGGGAGAAAGAGGGGTTTCCTGACTGAGGTCAGGATGACACAGTCCTGACACCAGATCCTGCTGTGGGGAAGAAGTGAAGGACATGCTCAAGGCTTCAGTCCAGGCCCTGCCGCCATTTGTTGAGAATCCATGTAGGTCACTTCACACATCCAGGCCTCACTGCTTTCTCCGTGAAAGGGAATGTTATCCTTCCACGGGACGGCCATGGCTGTCATGTGATATGAGCCATGCAAACCACTTTAAGTTCAGCGTAAGTGCTCATTAAATATTGCTTCCTATTATTATTTTTGTTGTTTTTGATGCAGAGTCCCAATACTTTCATAGCAAGGTACAAAAGGGTCTTAAAGAAGCCCTTCTCACACTCCGAATGAAAAGTAGCACCCCACGGGTCCTCCTGCTCTGGATTCCCTCCCTCCAGGGTCTGCCCCGTTCCCACCTCAGCTATCTTTTCCCAATAGACTCTCTTTCCCTTGTCTCTCCCTGCTTGAGCAGAGGTAGAAATGTCACCCAGGAAGCCTACTTGTGCATGAAACAAATGTCACCCAAGGAAGGGCCTCTCCTGCCAGCGAGAATGACCATGAAGTTCACCAGGGCTAGTGAGGACCTCTCTCAGTTGTGGCATCAGATCTTGGAATTACTGAACTCTTGTCTGGAAGAAATCTCAGAGAACACCAGGACCATCTTCTCATTGGAGACTTGCGAGTTTCAGACACGGGGAGCCCCAGGGACTGCTGCTGAGTGGCACAGTTGCCACTAAATGCCAGTGTCCAGACCACTGACCCAGTGTCTTCTCCTCTCTTTGCAGGTGCCCTGCCAGTCGCTAGAAAATGACATAAGGTCCAGAAGGTGCATCCCCGTAACACACCCTCCTCACAGCACCTCCAGAGTCAGGATACACTTTCTTCTCAAGTAGGCCAAAAGTGTTGTTTCTGGGTCTGCATTTTTCTCCACCACCTAACAAAAAAAGAAAAACAAAATTTATCATGGGTGTGCTAAACAATCCTTCTGTGGTTGATTTCTCCCTTCGGTGTCTCACCTAAGAATTTGTAGAGTTAATGGGAATATGTTGAATAGATTATAAAAACCAAGGTAGTCTTCACATCCTTACACACTCCTTACATCCTACATTCACGCTCAGCTTTGGGCTCCCACAGAACACTCAGCGCTGGGCTGACTAAGCCAAAGCCCCTTTGCGGGTCATGCGTGGCATCTCATTTCTCCAGCTGGATCCCACCTGGGACAGCAAAATGCCGACTCTAGGTTTGCCTCCTTGAGTGCACGCTCTTACAGACTGCAGGTGAGGAGAACCAGGCTTTGGGCCAGCGTGTACAGCAGGGTATCATATGCGATGGACAATCACAGATGGCAACAAGAACACATGCTAGAAACGAAGGAGAAATTTCAAGCCAGAGACACATCAGTGTGTTAAGTAATTATAGAAAAAGTTGTCTACAAAGTGAGACACTAGTCCCCAGTGCCAACTGTCAAAGGAAATCTGTGAAAGCCTTTTTCACTGCAAACATATTGTCAAGGTGGAAAAGGTATGGACTAGTGAGATGATCAAGGGAGAGAATCTGAGATAGTGGTTTCTTTACAAGGAATTGAACTATGAGTCCCACAGCTGCCAAAGGGGAAGGGGTGGTAGCTACTTCACAGCTCAAACTGGGTGAGAGCCATCGTTTGTTCTGCATATACAGCCACCTTGCCACTTTTGCAGTCTCAGAGATATGGTCATCTGGCCTATCTAAGTAGCTAAAGGTAGACTCCACATAAAGTTAATAACCAGCTGGGTGTAGTGCCACACACCTGAAATACCAGCATTCTGAGAAGCTCAGGCAGAAGGATTGCAAGTTCAGTCCCAGCCTAGGTGAATTAGTGAGACCTTGTCTTCCTGTCCATTATCATCGTCATCATCACCGAGGGCTGGGGATGTAGCTCGGTGTGGAACCCCTGGGTTCAAGTCCCAGTACCACAAACACTTCATAACTAGCAATAGTGCACTTAAGCTTAAACTGTTGAAGTGGCAGTTTGGGGATTGGTGCGCTCTTCCAGACTTTGGTAAGGGCAAAGATATGATTGGCGAGTGATCTATAATAGACCGTCTATGGAGATAGAGAGAGCTGATTAAAATGCGTTTAAATTAGTCCCAAAAAGGTTGTGTAGAAGGGACAGTGAGACCTCTGACACAAGGTCTATGTGGAGCAGACCTCCCAGAGCTGGACGCTGAGGGACAGCGGCCAGCCCAAGGAAAGCATGTCACTCATGTCATGGGATGGCCCAGGAAATGCTCCCTGTGGTGAAGAATTCTTGAAGCCATTGAAAGAGGAAGAAAAGGGAGAGCTCCAGACACCTGAAAAGCCCAGAGGCCAACCACCACCTTACGGCAGTTTCCGTGAAACGAAAGGTCTCTTACTACTCTCGCACACAATCCTGGGTGAAGCTGGTGTTTAGCAACTCATATAAGTAATAAGATTTTTTTATTGACCACAAGTAATGAAAACATTTATGAAACTGCCAGCATTTGCCATTGGAATAAAGATTAAAAGGAAATGGAAGCTAAAGCTGACACTTTTTTGTGTGATTATACCCCATAAACTCAGCGTGCTCAATAACCTGGTGTCAAAGTTAACACAAAAAGTAGCCTCTTTTCTCCTGGAGAAGAAATCATAAATACAAGCAATAATGGTCCCAGGTGCTCTAGCATGCTGTTTCCTCTGTGTTATCCCTGCTCCCTGTCCTCTATAGCATATCAATTCCATGCGTGGTGCCTTCTGTGACTTCCTACAGCCCATAGATTGCCTTCCAATATGTTCCCAATCTTCAGTCTTAGCCTTCCCATCTCCTACTTTTTTTTTTACCAAACTTATCTTATTGTGCTGAAAATACACCTTGTGCCTCCCAGCTCCTATGCCTTTGAGCACATCACTGCTCTTCCGCGTGCATCTTGCTTTGTCAGAAGACTGAACACTTCCCTGGCTTTTCACATGGCCCCAGTCACATGCGGATCACCCTGTCTTGAATTCCTACAGAGCATCATTTCCACCATGGCTCGGGTCTTGCCATGGTGAAGCAGTCCCTCAACAAGCTGCCAATGGGTATTCTCCAGGGAAAATCAACTGGGGGAGAAGTGAGACCCGTGAATCCAAACTGATAATCAATAAACTAGAAGGAAAAAAGGACCACGTTCCCTAGCAAAAACTAATGAATATGATTGGCCCTTGGCAATCAGCACAGTAACTGACACGGTAAGAATCATCAGTGGATGCTCAGACTGGTGTGCAAATGTCAGATGGACAAAATGTTTGTATAATCTCAAAGTATCTCCCCACAGATTATTAATTATAATGATCAAAGCATTATCTCACAGTGAAGAAATTTTAACAGATACTGCCTTAGTCAAGAGATCAAAGTTCAGCTCACAAATAATGGAAAAAACTGCTACCTTGTGTCTCGAGGCAGGATGTGCTGAGAAAGACATCACTTCTATGATATTCCTGTCTTGGAATCTAATTATAGGAGAGCACGGGACAAACTCAGAATGAGGGACATTCTAAAAAATAACTGGCCTGTTTTCAAAAACATCAATATCAAAACAAAGGAAAACAGTGAGAGGTTCCTTGTTAGGAGACTAAAGAGCCTATCCAGGAGGCATGATCTGGCATTAGAGACGCAGCCTGGGGGGAGGGGACAAATGACATCATTGAGAAAATTATAATAATTTTTCGTAAGATCCAAAGATAATAGTATTATATCGAAGCTAAATTTTCTGAATTTACATGTGAACTGTCTATAAATGAACTCTAAGAATGACCTTATTCTTAGTATAAGGGACATGATATCTAAAACTTAGACATAGTTTGGAAAGAAAATTGTATACTTTATATATCAGTTAAATATACAAGCTTACATCTGCACATCTGAGTGTATATGTGCATATATGTATATGCAGTGTGCATATCCAGAGAGACAGAAAAAATGATAAGGCAACTATGACAAATTTTAACAGTTGGTGAATCTGAATAAAGGGTATTTAATATTTCTTTGTGTTCTCAAAACTTTTCTATAAATTTAAAATAATTTTAAAATACAAAATTTCAAAAGGTGTATTTCTTTTGTGTATACTTCTTTTAGTTCTCAGGGATTTTAATATCTATTTATGCATTCTATCCATATTAATCATGTATGGACCTTGTATACAAACTGCCAAAGATTTAAGATTAGTCATTATGGGACTAGTTTTCTGGGGAACACAATTGGATCACATTACTTTGCCCGACCATAATTCACTTGTCTACCCAGTCCATAGGCTTCCAAAAGACAAATGCCTGGTCTCAGATACTGCGTTCCTCCAGTGCTCATCTCACAGGTTTAGGTCTTAGAAAGAGCTCAGTAAATACTGACTCTGTGAATAAGTGAGTAAAATCCACCAAAGCCACCATAAGTCTCTCTGTAACTGATGTGAGTGTGAGTGTAGGTGTGCGTGATGTTTTTCAGAATGCAGGTCCTTCATCCTGAGCTACGTCTCCCTCCAACACCTTTTTTGTTTTCTACTTTTGGATAGGGTCTTGTCAACTTCCTGAATTACCCAAGCTAGGTTCAACTTTGCAATCCTCCTGCTGCAACCTTCCTGAGTGCTGGGATTATAGGTGCATACTACCATGCCTGGCCTGATGTAGGATGCTTGTAAAGATCACTCCTGGATACCTTCAGATGCAGAACACTTGCTCAGTCCTCCCAGATTCTTCCAGAAGCTACAGTTTCCACTCAAAAGAGTGACTGCTCAGCAAAGCTAGAATGTTGTGCCCCCAAAATAAATACCCTTAGAATCCTGGGCTACTTTTTCTTTTTGGTTCAATTGAAGAATACATGACGTGGAAGCAATAGTCAACAAAGCCTGTCCTTCTCAGAAGGCTGCCCAGGGTTTTGTGTGGTCATCTAACACTGTCTCTAGAGCCCAGTTAGTGGACACAGAGTCTTAACAGTGCTGCAAAATAAGGAGAAAAAGAGGCTGCCATTAAGAATGAGTCATCAAGTTTCTACAGCTTCTTTGCACAATATCCTGTAATAAAAAGTCAAAGTCATCTTAATAAAAATGGGGAAATATTTACAGCTGCCTTTATTTGCTTAGAATTCCCTCACTTGATTCTGGTTTTATAGCACTCTCACATTATTCCTCTTGATATTTCTTGTCCACCTTCCCTCAGTGTCTCAAGAAGTTCTATTTTTAAAATGATAAACTTGAATATTTATCTATAGATACTGGCAGAAGTATGCACTTCCAGAGATAACAGGGTCTGATGTGATAATATTGTCCAAAATTTTAAAGTCACTTTCCTTCAGTGAAAATAAAATTCAAGGCAAAGTACTTTTTATCAAGCCAAATCACCTGGAAATTGATCTTTTCTAGATCCAGAATATAACAACAAGGTATCTCTGAAGAAGAGCAAGACCTTATACTTTCACGTACAAATTAATAACTTCATACTTAACAATGAATGATAAAATCAGTGAGACTTGGCCTTGGAAGTCTTTGGATACAATTGTTTATTCACTGTAAACCTCACTTATAAAGATTCCAGAGATGATGCCTTTCAGTAAATAACAAGTCTAGCAGGGAAATGCAACAGCTGTTTCTGACATCTCTATGCTACGCCTGCTGAATGCAAAGATGCTTAAGACATCAGGAGGATGAGAACAACACATGAGTTCAAGCCCAGCTTGAGCAACTTAATGACTTGATGACACCTTGTCTCAAAATAAAAAGTGAAAAAGGGCTGGGGTGTAGCTGAGTGTGAATGCCCTGGGTTCAATCCCCTTAGCATCACTAAAAAAATAAAATAAAAAGTAAAATGTGGTGCAAAAGTCTCACCATCTCCAGCTCAAAGGCTTTCTCCTCCCTCTTGATCTGGTGCCAGATGCCCAGCATCACAGAGAGACAGCTGTCAAGCCCAGAGCCCCATCAGTGACTCCACCCAAGCCAGCAGCCTTTGAGGCTCTTGAGTGTCACAGCTTATGAAACTTCCTTGTTATTCACCCAGACACATCTTGAGAGTTAAAGTAATATTTTCCACTCAATGCAAAAAAAAAGAAAAACCAATTAAAAAAACAAAACTACTTTTTTGGGGGACCCTTTGGGCACATTCATCACTCACATGTCCGTGTGGCCAGCTGCAATGTGCAACGGCACCTCCCTTTCAGGACACAGTCCAGTCTCAAGTGAGGAGCTAACTCAATGCGACTGTCTTGGTGCAGAGCGAGAAAATAAAGTTGGAAACAGTGTCAGGGTCTCACCGTCTCTCCCTGCATTAAAATTATAAAGATTCCTGTCCTGTGGCCCAAGGGCTGTGTCACCCATACCACCTTTCCTAGGCATCCCTGGGCATTGACAAAGTTCATCTTAGCAGGGAAGAGATTGGCAGTATATACGGTCTAGAGAAAGGGGAGTGTGTCTTTTACGAAAACGATTGTGGCTTGCCACAAGAGGTCAGTATAAGTCCCGTCATAGTAAACCAGGACTGGTTGTTACACTTAGGTACACAATATGTCAAAAATCACAATATCGTGTCAATGGCTGTGCACGTCTGACATTAGCACAAAAATACATTCCTGTTTCTTTCTCAGCAAAGAAAGCCACAAAAGCACAGAATTTAATTAAACACAGGGATGAAGGTGTGGCTGAGCTCCCAGCTCACCTTGAAGTTTCCTGCTTACTCTGCCCTAGTGTGCAGCAGGGCTGGCAGCCTCTCTGCCCTTCTCATCCCCTCCCTCACATTCCTTTGCCCCTTGAGCATCTTGCCGGCACACTAGCCCCAAGGAAGACTTCTTTCCCAGTGTCACTGAAATGTGGCAACACTTTGAAAAGGAGAGAAAAAGGGGTGAACAAGTGAGAAGAAATAGAGCACATAGAAACAACCAGAACTTCCTCTTCTAGAGTTAGACGCATCTCCTCCCAGCCACCAGGGACTCCAAACCAAAGGTACACTTTCTGCTCACCTTTCTGCCATTCACAAAGAAAACCAACTCGTCAACCGTCATCGTCACTGGGGGAGTCAGTCCCTGAACTCCAGGTACCTCACTCCTAAGACACCGGCAGTTTTGACTGTGTTGCAACTTGAAAGTTACTCCTCCCAATAAAAATGAAACTAAATTAGCCAATGAGAGAGAACCAGCTTAGAGCTGCGAGGACAGACAGTTCTTGGCAAAAGCCACCCGTTTACATAACCCAGGAAAATGAAAATCATACACAGCATACTCTCTCCACCAGTGGCAAAGCACACAGGGGAAATTTTATCCATATCAAGAAAGCCTGTGTCTCTGTGCCAGGGACCGGGGTCTGGAGCGCTGTACTCAGGGAACCTGCTTCATCCTCTCACTTGCTCCCAGGCTCACCACAGGGACGAGGCTTTGTCAGGCACTATCAGTGGGCTGATTTACTGTTCCAACTCTGCACTTGCCATTTTAACCTACAGCTTCACCCCAGCAGACACAGTGCACACAGCTCCACTCACTGGCTCACAACCTACGTGGAGTACAAAGGTCCCAGAAATGAAGCCCCGGGTTTAGATTCTAATCCTCTCATGTGACCTCAGCACATACTTATCCGCTCCAAGATTCAGTTGTTATCCTGTAAACCATCTTAAGAATGACATCATAGTCACAAGATTGAGGGACAAATGCTAGCATAGATGTGCCCTGTAAATTGGTAAAGAACTGAATTATATTTTTAAGAACTTGAATTTTTAACTAAGGGCCTTTGCAATGAGCCACATCTCTAGCCTTTTAAAAATTATTTTTATTTTTAAATTTAAAAAGAAAAAAATAAAAACAGTGATACAGAATTTCAAAACAAAATAATAGGAGACAATCCATGGTTACTAGATTGCATGTTGTTTTTTGTTCAGTTTATAAGATTTAGGCATAAAAAAGATCCAATCCAAAAATGAGCAGCTGAGATTAACATACACTTCTCAGATGAAGAAAAAAAAATAAATATATGAAAAAATGTGGCAAATGAATATATGAAAAAAGGTTCAACATCAGGGGTCATTCCAGAAATGCAAATTAAAACAACCCTGAGATTTGAGGTCACTCCAGAAAGACAATAACAAATGCTGGCGATGCTATGGGGGGAAAGGAACACTTCTCCACTGTTGGTGGGAGTGTAGATGGGTCCAGCCATTTTTTAAATGTTTAAAAATCTTTATATTTTTATTTTAGGTCCTCTCTAAATCATTAAATTACCTAGGCTGGGCTCAAACTTGCAATTCTACCTCAACCTTCCAGAGGACTGAGATTGTAGGTATGCACCATCATACCCAGCCAAAACAGAAATATCTATCCTGCAGCAAAGAGACTCACAACAATACAGCAAGCATCTGATAGCAAACATTTTTGTGATTTTTTTCTTTTACTTGCTTCTTTCAGGAAAATCCCTTGGCAATTTGTCAGAATAACTATTAAAAATACTTCAAAATACTTACTTAGTTAAAACTCCCATGTCTCGTAGGCACAAATCACTTTAATGCACAGCTAAAATCCTTTCCCACACAGTACACTAATGCCTGGTGTATACTTGTATTCATTCCTACCCAAGCAGCCACCCTCTGCCACTGTCTCTCTCCTAGTGCTAGGGTTTGTACAGAATTTAACTTCTTGAAGTAGCACATTTCCCCTACATATCTGGCAACCTAGTGGTGGGGTTGGTGGGAGGGCATCTTAGGCAAATGCCTGTAATACAGCACCAGCTTAGAGAAACTGAGGAAGCAGTCCTGCTAGAGTAGACAGCTAACTAGATAGGAGCCAGCCCAGGGGAGAAACTGCCAAAGAATGTGGTCTCAACATGCTGAGTGTGCGCTCTCCAACTTCCCTTGTAAGGCACCCAAGCGGCTCAGTGTCTTACCCTATAGTTATATGGGCCTGGGATCAGTGTAGGCACACCTAGGCAATTTAGAACCCAGGTCGACCTTGTCTGACCCAACAGACTTCATTTACATATATTTGCACTGTAGTTTCAACTTTCCTCTCCCTGTTGCAGGGCATGGCTGCCATGTTCATTCAACTAAGACTGCCATAGGATCAAAAGCTCTCCTTCGAACACGAGGGTGGAGTCCTCTTGCTGATTGGAAAAGGCCCAGTTAGCCCATTTCTGCTTTGCACAGTTGGAACCTTCTCAAGTGTATTGATTTCTCATGTAAACTACCCCAACTCTCTCCAGGCACTTGGATTTCCTCTGAGCCAGTTACTCACCAAATTTTGGTAATGTCCTGCCTTGAGTAAAAGTTATCTTTGCTTAAGAGTGTACCTTGCTCATTATGTAACAAAATGGTGTCTAAAATTGCTACCTTCTGACCCTGAGTTCCTTTCCATAGACCTCCTTGTAAACAAACCTCAAGGAGGATTCAAGAACCAAAGCATCAACAGGATGCAGCCCCAACACAGACCACCAGACCCTGCCCAGTCAGATACCAGCATAGCTTTTATTTAACCAGGAGATTCAATTTCATGTGTAGAGTACCCAGATCTTCCCAATTTGTTCTGGATTCTCCTGGCTTGGGCACTGCATTTCTGGCAAACTGGGGAGGCTGGTCCTATAAAACAATAGTGTCAGAGTATTAATCCTCACTGAAGGCACCATGGGACGTGCGGCATGTTTTCTTGTCACAACTGAGGAGACTGTAGCTCATACTGAGTAGAAATCAGGAATGCAGTTAAACATCTTACAAAGCAGGGGACAGTCCCTCGCTGCACAGAACTATCCATCCTTGAATGCTAATGAGCCAACCTTGGGAAATCCTGCCCTCCTAGAAGGAAGAAGATGGGGGAGATTCATCAAAGCTGAGGAGAGTCATCTTTCCCTAAGTCCTCGGGCCTCTTTGATTGACAGGCGCTCCCTCTTTTCACCAGCCCTCCCCTTTTGGCTACAAGTCCCTAGCCAAGTCCAAGGAAACATCTGAGGTTAAAGGGCTGAGGGAAAAGCTCACACTCTGCAGTTGGGTGAGACAGGCTTGTACATTAGCTCCATTGCTTTGGCAGACTTTGCAAAAATCATTCTGTCAGCCGCAATATTCTTACCTACAAAATGGAGGCTAGTGATTCTGTTTGAGTCACAGTACATGCTCAATACAGTGTTTTTACTGTTTTGTTTTGTTTGCTTCTCTTCCCTCAGCCAATCTTAAGCCCATTCTGTCATCTGGAGGGAAAATTCCTCTCTGCTTCTCTGGAGGAATCACAGGTAAAAATGAAATAAATTTTCAATAAGAAAATTCAAAACTTTTATTTATGCTGAAGACTGAAACTGTCTAGACTAACACAGAAACATTAAATCTACTAGAAGACAAAGTAGGTGGCAATCTTGAAGGAACAGGGGTAGGTAGGGAGTTCATGAACAAAAATCAAACTGCATAGGAAATACTTCCCAGAATCAACAACTGGGAGCCCATCTTATAAAATGTTTGCACTTCAAAACAAATCACCAATAGAGTGAAAAGAAAACTCACAGAATGAGAAAAAATGTTAACCAGCTGTTCCACAGACAAAGGACTCCTATCTAGAATATGCAAAAAAATTTTTAAAAATCAGGCCTCCAAAATGGGCAACCCAAAAATAGGCATCTGAGATGAATATGCACTTCGCAGATGAAGAAATACAAATGGCAAATAAATGTCTGAAAAAGTGTTTCATTTCAACTTCATTCTGCTCTTTATTTCTCTATATTCAACTTTTTTACATTCCATGTGTAAGTTTCATCTACTATGTCTAACTTATTTCATGCAACATCTTCCATATATATCCAAGTTCTTGCAAATGACAAGCATCCCTTTATGTATGTACACCAGATTTTATTTTACCCCCTCATCCCTTGATGAAAATTTAGGTTGATTTCATGTCTTAGCCACTGTAAGTAATGCTGTTATAAACACGAGAGAGTACACATCCCCTCAACACACCATTTTCACTTCCTTTGGCTACCATGTAACTGTGAAAAGGACTCTCTACATTGTTTTCCGTAATGGGGATGCTAATTTACACTTACGTTCCAGCCAACAATGATTAACATCTCCCTTTCTCTACATTCTTTGCCCTACACTCTTTTTCATAATACCAGTGCTAACAGTTTTTTATAATAGCAATTCTAACAGTAATAAGAGCAAGAACTCATTTTAACTTGTATTTGTCTGAGGATTAGTAAAGCAATTTTCATGTAATCATTGGCCATTTGCATGTTGTCTCTTATGAAATGTCATTCCATAATTGAGTTATGTATTTCCTGGTTATTGAGCTTTGTTCCTTGTATGTTTTGGATGCTGTCCCAACATCGGGTGTATGGCTTGCAAGTATTTCTCCAGTTCCTTAAACTGTCTCTTCATACCACTATTTTTTGTTGCTGAGCAGAAGCTTTTTAGTTCAATGTAACCCCATTTTGTCTATTTTTGCTTTTGTTCTCTGTATCTTTATGCTCATATCAAAAATTATTACCCAATCCAACATCATAGAACTTTCCTTCATCTTTTCTTTAGGTACTTTAACAGTTTCTAGTCTTGTGTTAAGGTCTTTAATTCACTTTGAGTTTATTTTTGGGTATGGTGTGAGAGAAGGGCCCAATTTCATTGTATGTGGGTACCCAGGTTTCCCAATGCCATTTATTGAAGAAGTTGTTCTTTCCTCATTATAGATTCTTAGCATCTTTGTCAAAATCAATTTTCCATAAATTGGTGTTTATGTCTGTATCTTTTTGTTCCTTTGAGCCATATGTCTTTTTTTTTAATACCTGTACCATGCTGTTTTGATTACTATAGCAAATAGTTTGTTTTGAAATCAAGTAGCATGATGCCCATAGTTTTGCATTTTGGAGTTTGTTTGTTTTCTCCACAAGTTTATCCTGTGTATTTGGGGTCTTTTGTGATTATGCTTTAATTGTAGGATTTTTTTCTACTTCTGTGAAAAATGTCTGTGATTGTTGCTATTGTTGTTGTCACTGTTGTTTGTGGTCTGGGGATTGAAACCAGAGCTTCATTCATGCTAAGCAAATATCCTACCGCTGAGCTACTCCACCAGCTCAAAAAATGCCATTAACATGTTAATTTTAATTTGAATCTGGAGACTGCTTTGTGTAGTATGGACATTTTAACAGTCTTAACGCTTTGAAAC